TACATTCACACATTGACATCCTGGTGCATTGCATCAATGTCCATCATGTGTTAACATGCAATGCCTTAAGGTGGTCTATACAAATAAACAGACTGGCAACAAGCAAGAACGTCCAAAAAAAAAAAAAGACCAGTACTGCACTGGAGTGCCACTCAAAAGTAAATGTCACTGTAATGTGCTAAGACACGTAATGTGAATTGCGGTAACAGACTGCACTGAAGATTTGAGTAGGCCATACATGAAAACCAAACCCAAAATGAATATTGTATCATCTAAAAGAGCTACATCAATTTTATTTCAAGCGTATGGCATTATTAATATTTTCAGTATATTTTAAGTGTACCTAAAGGCAAAACTTTCTTTTATTTTGGATAGAGTAAGGGAGGGTTGTAACCCATTTTTTTTGTTTTGCCATATGTGTCCCACTGGTGAGGTTTCCATTCACTTGCTAACATCTTTTCAAGGCTGCTTTCTCTGTTTACTACTTCAGTTAATGACTGACCTGGACAAAGTGTGCACATCATGTGTCAGGACCCTTCTCTGACTCTTTGCTTGTACTGAGTCAATAACTGTCCTAAACAGCTCACAGATGATTCAGTTTTTTTTTTGGTCAACCAGAAGGTTTCCCCCATCCACACACTTGATGCAGATAGGCGAATCGTTCCTGTTGAGCTTATTGGGGCAGATTTACTAAAATTGGAGCACACGGAATGGTGTTCACCTGTACATAGTAACCAATTAGCTTCTAGGTTTTAATGTCAAAGCTTAATTGAAGAAGATTGGTTACTGTGCACAGCTGCACCAGATTCTGTGTGCACCAATTTTAGTAAATCCCCCCACAGTGTCCCGACAGTGGGGCAACTTCCCTGCCATCAGAATACACTGCTCAGAACTGTTGACTGTGCTGATCGAATGGCATTTATCCAACAGCCTGGTTATACGGAAGTTGATCAGTAAGTTGATTTCTCTACAACCACTTTCCCAATATATGGATTGAAATTCAGCTAATTTTCAATCCATGTTTGGCCAGCTTTAGTAAAAGATGCATGGTTAAAAATGACACTGAACATACACTGTCAGACTTCTTTAATAGCTCTTTCATATGGATGATCGTAAAAACAAAGTAGCTGAGCTGCAGTTTGGCTGCCCACCCAAATTCCTGACAGGGCTGTACACATTCTATGGCATTTTTAACCTGGGCTGTGGAGTAAGACAGGCGGCATCTCCTGGCGAACTTGCTCATTGAGATCCATGGGGCTGCACCACCACTGTGAACCAAGTGCTTAGTTCACAGATAAGGGTGTCAGCAGTGCCATCTGAACGATTGTCAATCATTTCTATACCACCCTCTGAAAAGCAATCCATGGTGGATCACCGGTGTTTAAGTTTACAACTTGTCTAAAATAACCCTAACAGCTTTCCATATGCTTCCTGAATGTTTTCTAGAAGTTCAGCACAGCTGTTTGCACATGGGGGCCATCAAGGAAGCGAACGTGTACAAAACCTGACTTGTATCTGTACATAATTACTACTTAGGAGCTCCCTCACATTTTAGCCAAGAAAGCTGTGATGTGTTTTTTTTAAGGAGCTAAGGGAAAACCTTTACATTTTCAGCAACAATATAAAAATGCCAAAGCATAAGATACTGTTAATCAGGTTTTTAGCGCCAAACCCTTACCTGATTGGCTGCACCTGACAAAAGTTTCCCCAGCAGGTATCACACTCAAGTGTGAAGACCGGTGCTCTGGAGCAGGAACATTGGCTAAGATAAAGTGTGGAGAGAGAAACATAAGACAGCTAGCTCTTCAACATTGATCAGGAAGAGACCCCTTACAGCACTGAATAAAAATATGTACCTGAGCAGGCAATAGCAGGGGAATAGATGTTGGACTGAAAATCTGCTCTAGTCTTTGTACACTCAGCATCAAATATGACCATATACTGTATTTTCCGGCATATAAGATGACTTTTTACCCCTTGAAAATCTTCTCAAAAAGGGGGGGTCGTCTTATACGCCATGCTGACACTTTTTAGGGGGGTGGCGCGGTGCTGCTGCCGCCCCACCCTTCCAACGGAAGGGACGCTAAGTACAGGGGTGGGCAGGGGCTGCTGTCTCTTACCTGGCTTCGGTCTCACGACGATCCAGTCCAGGAAGCGCGGCTGCTCCTTCATTCAGTTCGGCCACTGGATGTTTGCGTGGCTGCTCGGCTCCGCCTCCTCACCGGTGATTGGCCGCCAGAACTGTAGCTCAGGAAAGGCACACAGGCACCCAATCACCGGCGAGGAAAACCGAGTGAAGGAGGAGCGGCCGGTAAGTGTGCCGTGCAGAGGTGCTGCTGCAACCACATATGCTGGCTGCACCAGCACCATACTGGAACAGGGTTCAGCAAGTGTCATTGGCGTCAGTGGGAGGAAGAGTGCCCTATCATTGGTTTCACTGATACCAATGATGGGGCATTATTCCTCCCACTGACACCAACGATGGGGCACTTTTCTTCCCCCCCACTGACACCTATGGGGCACTTTTCTTCCCCCCCCCACTGACACCTATGGGACACTTTTCTTCCCCCCCACTGACACCGATGGGACACTTTTCTTCCCCCCCACTGACACCGATGGGGCACTATTCTCCCCCCCCCCCCCCCCCCCCCACTGACACCAATGATGGAACACTATTCCTTCCCCCACTGACACCAATGATGGAACACTATTCCTTCCCCCACTGACACCAATGATGGACACTATTCCTTCCCCCACTGACACCAATGATTAGACACTATTCCTTCCCCCACTGACACCAATGATGGGGCACTATTCCTCCCACTGACACCAATGACGGGGCACGATTCCTCCCACACACTAATGACAGGGCATTATTCCTCCTACTGACACCACTAATGACGGGGCATTATTCCTCCTACTGACACCAATAATGGGGCACGATTCCTCCCACCGACACCAATGACGGGGCACGATTTGTCGCTCTGGCACCAATGATGGGGCACTATTCCGCCCACCGATACCAATGATGGGGCACCATTCCTCCCACCGATACCAATGATGGGGCACCATTCCTCCCACCGATACCAATGATGGGGCACCATTCCTCCCACCGACACCAATGATGGGGCACCATTCCTCCCACCGACACCAATGATGGGGCACCATTCCTCCCACCGACACCAATGATGGGGCATCATTCCTCCCACCGACACCAATGATGGGGCACCATTCCTCCCACCGACACCAATGATGGGGCACCATTCCTCCCACCGACACCAATGATGGGGCACCATTCCTCCCACCGACACCAATGATGGGGCACCATTCCTCCCACTGGTGTGCATTGGAAGAGGGGTAGTCTTATACGGCGAGTGTAGCCCAAACACTACATTTTAACAGGAAAAGTAGAGGGTCGTCTTATACGCCCAGTTGTCTTATACGCTGGAAAATATGGTACATCAACAAAACATGTAATCAGGAATATGACAGTACAGTATATACCATTCTTCACCTGTATAGATTAGTAATAGGGATAATGATGCAGAGGGAACTAAACGTCTATTGTAACATAAGTGACCGCTACGTTTGAAACATTTTATGTTCTATAAGGATTTTTATTAATGTTTATACAGGCTGACAATATTTGCGAATGAATAGTCTGACATCACAGTTTCAGCAACTGACATACAAAAAAAAACAAAAACATATTGACATAAACAACCAAATTAAGGGTGGGAAAGTTCCGTGAGAGAGAAGGAAGAGTATAGCAATTACATGTAAAGATCATTTAATAAAAGGGAAATAAAATGTAAAATATTGCACTCAAAAGGTTGATGGTATTATGTATGTTTGTGGCTGATTTCCACTATAGGTGATCTTAATACATCAACCTTGTGAGTGCAATATTTTACTTTTATTTACCTCTAATAAATGAGTTTGGGTTTTACACTATGAAGCTTTTCTCGCTTTCGTTCTTTTGAGCTACTGCATGTACCAAATTATGGCTTTAAATACTGATAAATTATTATCTCTGGGAAGGTGCCTGGAGTGGAAATACAGGATTTATCCTGAGCGCTGTATGACCTCCATTTTAATTAGTGGGATCCAACTATTGAGGTGAGGGCACAGAGATGTTTGGATAAGATCAAGATTCTTGGTTCTGTATATCACTATATGGACTTAGTATGATTATACACAGGGAAAGCTGAGGATTTGGACACTTTTCTATTTCACATAATTCTTTACACATAATTTGCATTTGTTTTTGGCACATTGATTTTTTTTTATATACAGGTGTTGCATTATAATGCATGGAGATTAGGTCTTGAGGAGTGCTTCACTATTATATTTGATATCCAGGTGATGGCTTGGCTTCTGCCAGCATGCTCAAGTAAGTGATGGAAAAAGGATTACCACAGTGAAATACCCAAAAATATTTATTTCAAAATGGGACACACAAGTATACAATCTCCCTATCCAACCACATTTTAGTCTGTTTAAGCAAAGGACCTCTCACCCTATGGCAGTTATCACTATTGTAAGTGGGGGCGTTTGTTTGCCAGCACATTTCTACCAACAGACTAGCCCTTCCTAAATACCAGTCGTATTTGGTGTAAAAATAATGCTGTTGCTGGTCACCTTCACAGTTGATTGTAGACTCAAAGTCCCATCATCCTAGCTAATGTGTCCTAGCTTTCCTTGAGTTCTAAACAGAGTATCCTTGAAGTAGAACACTGCTGTCTCACCACATATGTCCTAAGAAACATTTTCTGTAAGGTTTGTTAATGCACAGGACCCATTAAATATCAAAGCAAATGTAAACAATTAGATAATAGGCAATTCTTAAGCTGAATATTATTAGTGCACCAACAAGAACACATTAGGATATACAGTAGGGTTACCGTATATCATCATTTAGTAACCTCTCCTCTTTTCCTGGGAGAGCTCATAGCATCAAAAGCCAGACACTTTCCTAAGAACTGGAATGTTTGCTCAAGCTATAGCTTGGATGATGGAGCAAATTTCAGTGCCATATCTTGTAGAATCTGAAGAAACTTCTGCTCATCGTCAGTGGAGGAGTGTGTGCTGGCCAGGGGTAAATGGCTAGAAACAGGTTTACGATCTAAAGAAAAAAAAATTATATATACACACACATACATACAGTATTGAGCTTTACATAAGTCATATAATGGTCACATCTTTTTGGTGAACTCTTGCTGATTGGTGGAGCTACGTAAATAAATGATGGGTCAGGCTTATCTGATACGGATGCTAAGTAGAACGTATACTGTGTTCGGGGATAATCTGATTTTAACCACTTAGTTTCCAGTGCCAGTTTGCCCATCGGTGCTGGGAGCGCAGCTATTCACCCCAGTGTTGTTTGAAAATGTCTCCAGGAATCTGGGTCTGGCTGAAACTGCTGCCTGTCAATGACCTAGCTAAATCTGTATACAATTATGTTTGATTATGCTATTTGTCAATAAAAAATAGTTTTAAGCTAAATAATTTAGGTGTAATCCCTAGGTACTTTAAAAAACCCATTTACTTTCTAGTTTGCACATTCTTTGATACAGTATAGAATGGGACCCCCCTTTTATCTCACCATTTCTGAAGACTAAGGTTCTATTATGGGTCCCACAGAAGGTAAGGCTTATACCTTGGAAGAAGAGTCCACTTGGATGTTTGATTGCAGCAGCAGATATGGCGAGCCACACCACTGTGTCTGCTCCTTGTTCTTCAGTGCGTAATCTGTTCTTCATTTTTTCATAGAAGTCTGGCATTGATAACCTTACAGCTAAATAAAAGAAATCCAGTCAGCTATAGCTTGAATAAAACTGAAAAACATGCACAAGCAATTATTTGCTGTATGACTGTGGCCACGTTGGTGACAGAAATCGATGGGGATTTATACAGTGTACACACATAAAGAAAGCCAATAACAGTCTCCATACCCATGTCTGCCCCAATGATTGCAAATAAAAGTTACATATCAATTATTGGTAACCTGGTGTGTCTGCCCAGCCTGGGTGCATTACAGAAAAGTGAATCTTCGGGTATGCTTTGGCCCACTGCTCGGTCAGTATCACCTGCTGCCTCTGTAGCAAAAATAAAATGTGAAGAAAACCTCAGTTTGTATATTAGATTGTATAAAGAAGAAGAATGCAGCTGCATATTATTTCATCATTTGCATTGATGTCATTTTCAGCATTTGAACCATCACTATTACATCTGCTAAGTGTAGCTGCACTATGGGCTGTAGCAGAGGGGTGACTTGGAGGAAGTGTTTAGTGGGCAGCTAAAGCTTTAAAAAATAAATAAAATAATAAGCGAGATATAAGCCATACTGATCCACGCCGTTCTCATCAAATCAGGTAGATTTGAGCTATTGTAAGGGAGTTTGTTCAACCAGATTGCACAATGTGGAGTCAGCTTTAAGAAAAGTAGATAAGTGGTTTGTACTTTTGTCTGGCAGCACTAGGGTCTGGTTCGAATCCCAACCATGGCACTACCTTCCTGCCTGGCATGGTCCCTGGTAAGTTAATTGGCTGCCCTCTAAATTGGTCCTAATATGTGTATGTATGAATGGGAGTCACATCTGTGCACGTGCTATCTGAATTAAAGGCGCACTCTGTGTTCCCTGACTGCAGAGCTCACGCCCGTGCACAGTGACAACAGCTGGAGCCAGTAAATACGTGAATACTTACTAACCAGCGCACGTTTAGTAGACAATCACGGAACCTACAGATAAGGCATATTATAAATGTATCTGTAGGTATAAGTTATAATTCAGACTTTACTACAGCTTTAGGGAGCATAACTGCCCAGGTCAAGGCTAGATGTAGAAGACCAAGTAAAATCTTCTACAAAACACTGTCAGATATGCATTCAATATCCATCATATCACTTCAAGAGGGCTGGAGGAAGGTTTGGCTGATACAGCAGTAGTACCCCAGTCCAGTTTACAACACTAGCTACAGAAATATGGTGTTCATGGAACTATGGCTAAGTGGCGCTATGGTCATTGACTTGAATCCCAACCTAGACACTAGCTGCACAGTTTACATGTTCTCCCTGTGCTTGAGTGGGGGTACTCCGGTTTCCTCCCATACTCCAAAGACATGCTGGTAGGTTAATTGGCTCCTGTCTAAATTGGCCCTAGTATGTGTATGTATGAATGTGAGGTAGGGACCTTAGATTGAATGTATAATATTTATGTAAAGCGCTTCAGCACTATATAAATACGTAAGAAAAAATAAAGTAATAAAATCATACATACAAAGCATTTTCTCTACTAGACACGGAATCGCTGTCCGTAAGTAGAATATGGTAGTCAGGTAAAGTGTCATCTACCATTTCCAAAACGGGTATGTTACAGATCAAGCAAATCATTTTTTGTAACTGTAAAATCAAATAAATGCAGGTTAAAAAAAAAAAAACAGTGGCGGGAACAGACCTTATTGTGTGCGTATGCCATTGTTCCATCAAATGTGCCCTTTTCAAGCTGCAGGTCAGACACGTCCAGTTTTTGAACCAGCATACCACCCGAAGAGACCGTCACCTAGAACAATGTAATAATCACTGACATGACTGACAAACTGCTGCCTTTGCCAAGCCTGAGATCCACTCCACAAACTAAGGGCCAGTTCAAACTATATTCGTTTCAGTGTACTTTTTTCTGCATCCAAAACACACAGAAAATAGGTTATATGGTTGTCAATGTCATAGTTTACATCAGTGCTTGCAGAAAAAAAAGTAGAACAGGCCGCATTCTTCCTGCAGAGAACTGTACTGGAATGCGGTACAACACACTGGAACACACCAAAAAAATGCACAATTGTCTATTTATTTGAAGAAAAAGAGTGGGAAAAAATTAACTGGAACCAAAAACGTGCATGTGGAAAAGCATCCAGAATGCATCTGGACCAGGGGCGGACTGACAACTCATGAGGCCCCTGGGCAATAGGGGATCATGGGGCCCCTGTGTCCTTGCCCAAACTCAAAAAAGCCTATGAAAAAGGTACCAGGGGCATCTCATGGGGGCCCCCTACTGACCCCGGGCCCTCAGGCAGTGCCCAAGTTTCCAAATGGTCAGTCCACCCCTGATCTGAACTGTGTTTGTATGGTGTGAACCAGCCCTACAAGCCTCTAGAATGTGGAAACATGCATTATAGGAGATCTTGCACTGTAAAAGACAAATACATGTTGGATTCCCCTGTTGCTTCTGGGTGATAGATTGTTTTATGCATGATAAAAATGATGGGAGTGAAGAAAGAACACGGACACTCTATTGTACTTAGAACTGTAGGATTGTGCCACTGTAGCTGAAAGCAAATAAGGCCCTCCTGAGCATGAAATGAGAAAGCAGTAGAAGCACAATAAAGGCAACCTGTTGGGGAAGGTCCACTTTAATACACAGACATGAAAGGTAAATTTCCACAATACTTACCACCCTGGCACCTTCTTCATTCTCCAGTACAGGCAACAATGCTCTAGTGAGAATATAGGTACCTGAGGGCAAGAAGAAAATAATTCAACTTTAATTTTCAGCTCCAGTGTTGCACATGCGCCACTTTTTCATGCCACGCATCTATATTTGTCTTGCTCTAGGCACTGAGAGCGAACACTATTCTAAATTAGCATATGAGCTCTACAACCTAAATGATGTAAATGAGTTCACACACACAATATACAGCACAGAATGTATTTATCATAAAGCAATTATGTCTCATGATATATGCCAATGCATAGAAAGGGTCTACTCTAGACCTAGTTCCAAAGGTTGTACATACATGAACATTAATACAGTTGTGTCAGGACGGGGCGACGACAAGCTTCCAGCATTCCCTGCTACATAACATCATTTCTATGAGAGCTTAGCTCAGCCAAGTTTAGGAATAAGTGACATCAGAAAGTTCATTAGACCCTCTAATACTGGGCCCTAGGTGGGAATGGAAAGTAGGGCCTAAGGGTTAGGGCTATTGCACATGATCTTGCTGGTCTTCTGGTGCAAAAAGATAATGTCAATTAATGCAAGCCTTCAGTACTTCAAAAAAGTAAACGCCAAACAACCAATGTATAATGCCTTCTCCAGCAGGATTGCACAACCTCATGTCTATGGGTTTGCCACTTGACTGCCTCTTTTTTTTTGCCTACTAGAGAAGTAAGAGAACCTGTCCCAATCACTATTGCTCCCTCCTTAGAAAAGCAGTGCTGCTTTTCTCCTTCACCCTACCCAAAGAACCAAAAACAAACCTTCGGATGAGCCATGAATTAGTGTTTCTATGGAAGCAGCAAACAAAGAAATGATACCTGAGGGTGGACTTTAATGTACAGTTCACATACTGTATATATGCTATTACATACAGTGCAAAAGATTCATGTATGTTGCAGCTTCGGAAAATGCTGTGTATATATAGGATTCCATTCCCTGCAGTTCTTTTATAGGGTGGACTGTAAATAGTAATAAGGAGGTTTTTAATAGAAGATGGTCCTGAAGGTCAATGAGCACTGGTGTGATCAGACTGTCACATCAGATAAAGCAGAGAGCAGGTCATACTACCGGAGCACAGAAGAGGACATATTTTTCAGCTAAAGTGTATGTAAACCCAAATAATAAACTTCTTTGATTGGTCTATTTTTGTTAAATTTTACCATTCAATGTTTTTTGTTATATCAATATGTCTGATAAGAGAAAATAAATGTCTGTTGATTCTGCCAAAAATCCATTGCGCTGAGTGTTATTAGCTATGTCCAGTTCACCTGTGCTACTAGATTAAAGAACACCTCCCCCTATGTTGTGGAGATGGGGAGGAAATTCTGTAGTCCAAACCAGGAGCAAGCAGTCTAGGGTGACAATACTGCATCTCCATGATACGGTACAGGGAGCGTGGCTACCCTTGTGACCAGGAGAACATAAAAGAAAAAAAAAACAAACACTTGAAAAATAGAAAACTAATGTACCACATCATACCACAATATACTACATTTTCCTGGAACAGAAAAAAAACACCTGAAAGAAACTGGCACAAAATGGATAGCAACATCTTTTTTTTAATGCATGCAAAGAGGAATATCTGATCCCACAAGGACTAAGGATACAAAGTCCCTTATTGTTTTAGCATGCAATGCCACATGTGTTGTTGATAACATCTGTATCTCTTTGTTGTTTGCTGTATAAAATGCATGTTTCTTATGATCAGTTCATATTGCCTAAAGAAAAGGCAAGCATGCTTCAAAAGTTGCATTACAATCTATTCATTGTTTGCAGACCTTAGATTTTTTATCCCAGCCTTTAAACAGGGAGGAAAAAAAAAACCTCTCTATTAACTGAGCACAAATGATGCAACTTGTCTGCACAGCAAACATCCCCCCATGGATTTGCCATTTGCCACTTACCATTACCATTGAAAGTGAAAGTAAAAGAAAATCCCAAATTTTGGCTTGTCCTCAGAAAAGTAATAAAGGGGAAATTCTCCGATGGGGACACTAGTTCTGGTGACCTGAAGGTCCCCAAGGAATAATGGCATGCAATGCCAAGCTGTGGTTTCTAAAGCGAGCAAAATCCTCTCTTGTATTAAAAGAGGTATAGACTCCAGAGAGAGAGATATCATATCACCCCGGTACAAATCATTAGTAACACCTCATCTGGAATATGCAGTTCAGTTTTGGGCACCAATTCACAAAAAGAATATTGGGGAACTGGAGAAAGTACAGAGAAGGGCAACCAAACTGATACGAGGCATGGAGGAGATCAGCTATGAGGAAAGATTAGAGGAACTGAATTTATTCTCTCTTGAGACGAGGAGATTAAGGGGGGATATGAGCAACATGTATAAATACATCAGTGAACTCAGTGTAGAGCTATTCACCCTGAGATCATCACAGAGGACAAGGGGGCACTCTACATCTGGAGGAAAAGAGATTTAATCTCCAAATACAGAAAGGTTTCTTCACAGTAAGAGTTGTGAAAATGTGGAATAGACTCCCTCAAGAGTTTGTTCTGGCCAGCTCAGTGGATTGCTTCAAAAAAGGCCTGGATTATTTCTTAGATACACAGAATATAACTGGATACTAACATTTATAGGTAAAGTTGATCCAGGGAATATCAGATTGCCTCTCGGGGGATCAGGAAGGAATTTTTTCCCCTGCAGGAGCAAATTAGATCATGCTTTGCTGGGGGGGGGGGGGGTTTTAGCCTTCCTCTGGATCAACTGTGGGTGTAGGATAACGTTTTGTTTTTTTTTAACGGTTGAACTAGATAGGCTTTTGTCTTTTTTCAGCCAAATTATGTAACTATGATTTCCTCTCACTTCCTGTTTAGGCTATGGGACTGGTAGTGAAGGGAAATCTCCGCAATGGGACACAGGTGGCAACAATTTTTTTTTAATTATATATATATATATATATATATATATATATATATATATATATATATAGCACCATGGAATTGATTTACAGGAGGCTTATTACCTGTCATAAATATCACTTCCTTATTCAAAGTGCAGTAACCCAGAGCAACCAGTATACTGAAGTCAGATTAGTAATGATGCAACCAGTCAGATTGCAGAATACTAAAGTTGGATCAGTAATGACACTGGATTCTGGAATAACTAATTTTACACTTGGTAAATTGAATCCTGAAACTAAACTAAACATTTTTATCATCACAACCACCAAATTAATTTGCAATGAATTCAAGAAATCTCCAGAAGCAGCAGGTTCAATTCTGGGTTAACCCCGTTCATTAGATTGTTCTGCCACTAATACACTGAAACCACAACTATCTAACAATGATGAATTATTTATCTGCACAGTATCCTGCAACGGGAAGAGGAGACTTCTCAGCCCATCTTGTGACTTAGTAAACTTTATGTAGACCATTACATACAAGTAAAAAAAAAAAAAAAAAAAAAGTAGGAATACAAGTCACCAGCACAAAATGCTATAAACATGTGTTGATGGGCTTCTTTTTGCATCAGGATGATTTCTATCCCCATAGTAGTCAACAGGATGGCAAAACCAGCATGAAAAAGGTTGACACTGCACTTGTCAATGAACACTGAATGATCACAGAAGCCTCTTATACTGATGTCATATGAAAGCTAAATGAACTTAAAGGCATGCTGCACTAGCCTATTGCCATAAGCCCATTACCCATCAATGCAGGCCTTTAACCCTTTCACTGCCAGGTCCTGCCAGCAAGGGATTTTACACACTCAGTCACCGGATGCTGGCTGTCAGATGGAAGCGATCGGGCAGCTGACATACCACCAGAAAAGAAAGGTGCCTACCCCTTTTTTGTCCCCTATATGATGGGGGGAAAAAAAAAAAAAAAAAAGTACATTGCAGCACATTATATCCCCCCCAAAAATCCTTTAGGATGGCCCCTCCCCAAACATAAAGGCACACGTTGGAGACTCCTACATATGAAAATGTTGATTACAATCATGTTACGTATCGTCACACACACCAGAATGAGAGCAATAGCTCTAGCACAAGTGCCCTCAGGTAACTTTAATCTGATGACCTTGCAGGGGCTTGTAAAATGTCCCCTATGGAAAATATATGGTACTGAAGTTTGTCGCTATTTCACGGGTGCACGCAATTTTAAGGTTTGACTTGTTGAGCATCCATTTAATTGGCACAGCCTCATCTTTTATATTTTACCAAAATATTGGGTAATGTTTAGCATTTGTGTGTCCGAAAATTAAGATTACTGTATGTTTTACTGACATTTTATTGCATCTCCTAGACCAGAGGTCCTCAAACTTTTTAAACAGGGGGCTGGTTCAGGGACCTTCACACTGTTGGGGGCCGGACTATAGTTTGAAAGAAATATGAACAAATTCCTATGCACACCGCACATATCTTATTTGTAGTGCAAAAAAACAATACAATATTTAAAATGCACTGTATTTTGTAATGCACTGGACACCAATATGCACTGTATTCTGTAATGCACTGGACAATACAATGCACTGTACTCTGTAACGCACTGGACAACGCAATGCACTGTACTCTGTAACACACTGGACACCAATATGCACTGTATTCTGTAACGCACTGGACACCGCAATGCACTGTAATGTACACACTGCATATGCACTGTATCTGTAACGCACTGGACACCAATATGCACTGTAATCTGTAATGGACACTGCACCGCCATGCACTGTACACTGTAAACTGCACATGACACCGCCATGCACTGTACACTGTAATGCACTGGACACCACAATGCACTGTACTCTGTAATGCACTTGACACCGCCATGCACTGTACACTGTAAACACACATGACACCGCCATGCACTGTACACTGTAACGCAAAGGACACTGCAATGCACTGTACACTAATACACTGGACACTGCAATGCACTGTAATGTACTGGACACTGCAATGCACTGTACTCTGTAACGCACTGGATACCAATATGCACTGTACTCTGTAACGCACTTGACACCGCCATGCACTGTACACTGTAAACGCATGTGACACCGCCATGCACTGTAATGCACTGGACACCGCAATGCACTGTATTCTGTAACGCACTTGACACCGCCATGCACTGTACACTGTAACGCAAAGGACACTGCAATGCACTGTACACTAATACACTGGACACTGCAATGCACTGTACACTAATGCACTGGACACTGCAATGCACTGTAAAATAAAATTCTTGTCCAACAAAGGAAAATGTAGGCAAGCATAGCAACGGACTAGCATAGAAGAGGAAGTGTAGGTTTTTTTCTATGTTTCTGATCATGCGTATTTTTTTCTATTTGATTATTTCCATATGATTACTGTACACATTAACTGAAAATTGGACGTTGTATTCATGTACAATAAACATTTTCTAGCTTGCACCCCTGGTTTTTGTCATCTGAAAAGTTGGAGTTGGCTGTCGAAAGCACCATACTAATGATCAGATAATTTCCGATTGTTCCTCGTACAGAAATTTACGCACGATTCTCTTATCCTGTGTGCGGGCCATTACTTTGCTTTCTATTAAACTGAACAAATTACTTTGCTAACAGGATAGCACAGATTCACTCAGGGCTGTTCACACCATGGTGTAGAACCATCAGTTTTTCTGCCCGTGTTCTGCAAGGACACAACGAAATCAATGGTTCTCTATATGCCCTGTTCACACCACAACACTGGTATCACATGCAGATTTTTTTTCTGCGCAGGAATCTGCAATGTATAAAGCTCATTGAAGCGCACATGAAAACTGATGTAAACTGATGGCTCTGCAAGCAATATCTGCGTGTCAGTTTTCATCTGTTTGTATGCACGTATGGTGTGAACAAGGTCTTATAGATTTGGTTAAGACCAAATCCTTTAGAAAATGTACGCATTAACTTACATAGACATTTGGAAATCATTGTCAGACCTCCAATCACCTGACAAACTTGCAGATCAATGGCTGAAGCAGCAGTTACATAAGAGGTTTCTGTCTAGAAATTCATGTAAAAAAAAATTTTATGAACTCAAAAACAGATATGTAAAAGCTTCAGTAACACACAGCAACCAATCATCGCCTACCCAGGACATTTGTTGCAAAGTTCTTTTCTATTCCATCTTCTGTTAATTCTCTTTTATTCACCATACAACCAGCATTGTTTATCTAGAAGGAATAAAACAGCATAGATTTTATAAATGTTCCCACCTAAAAGATGTTTGGTGCAGTTATATCGTACTTATATCATAAATCCTATCAGCCCCCTTCTACTACTCTTATACTAACCTATCCGCAATCCAGCAGGATAGGAGTAGACCGTATCCACGCATACAGTACGCTCTGCACTCACCATTCATTTCTACAGAGTAGGAGCTTGTATCTAGAAAGCTCCATAGAAATGAATGGAGAGTGCCTTTCACAAGTGGCTGTTTAATCTCATCAGCAATATTTCGTTGATCAGGAGGGGCAGCTCTGGGGGGACGAGGGACAATAATACAACTTATACAGTTAAAACAAGACTGGGTATCAGGCAAGGACAGCTTCTAGCCCAGGACAGGAGCCTTAGCTATTATGTCTAGACAGGTTCCCTTTAAAAATAAAAGACACTGCTACTATAATAATTGCGTAATTGTATGCTAGCTAATAGATTGCTGATATCGGACAACAAAAGCGGATTCTATTCAATTGAGCTTCTAAACATTCTTCCAGTCCTTCCAAGCAAGGAATGCAGACATCTTTCAAAAAATTTCAGATGCATAAGTATGCTTACACCTTCACCCGAGAGGGTCCGGCCTGCCATTCAAGCCCCATCCACTGTATTGCAGGGTGGGAACGAAAAAGCTTAGTACTCTTATTTTTCTTTCCGGGTTGTGAGTACTGCTGTTTTAGTGATTGTGGGAGGACACATAGAAACTGAGAAAAGTGACAGCAAAAAAAGACCAAGTGTTACATATATTATTTATTTCAGGTACTTATATAGCACCGTCAATTTACGCAGCGCTTTACAGTGCATCCAGAAAGTATTCACAGCGATTAACTTTTGCCACATTTTGTTATGTTATATCCTTATTTAAAAATGGATTCAATTCATTATTTTCCCTCAACATTCTACAAACAATAACCCATAGTGACAATGTGAAAGATGTTAGATTTGAAATCTTTGCAATTTATTATAAATAAAAAAAAAAAAAAAAATGTATATAAGTATTCACAGACAACTTGATTGGAGTCCACCTGTGGGAAATGCAGTTGATTGGACATGATTAGGAAAGGCATAAACCTGTCTATATAAGGTCCCACAGTTAACAGTGCATGTCAGAGCACAAACCAAGCCATGAAGTCCAAGGAATTGTCCATAGACCTCCGAGACAGGATTGTATCAAGGCACAGATCTGAGGAAGGGTACAGAAAAATTTCTGCAGCATTGAAGGTCCCAATGACCACAGTGGCCCCCATCATCCATAAATGGAAGAAAATGGAACCACCAGGAATCTTCCTAGAGCGGGCCGCCCGGCCAAAATGAGCGATCGAGGGAGAGGGCCTTAACCAGGGAGGTAACCAAGCACCCGATGATCACTCCAAAAGAGCTCCAGCATTTCTCTGTGAAGAAAGGAGAACCTTCCAGAAGAACAATCATCTCTGCAGCACTCCACCAATCAGGTCTCTATGGTAGAATGGCCAGACAGAAGCCACTCCTCAGTAAAAGGCAAATGGCAGCCCACCTGGAGTTTGCCAAAAGGCACCTGAGGGACTCTCAGAACATGAGAAAGAAAACTCTCTGGTCTGATGAAACAAAGATTGAACTCTTTGGCCTGAATGCCAAGCACCATGTCTGGAGGAAACCACGCACCGCTCACCACCTGGCCAATACCATCCCTACAGTGAAGTATGGTGGTGGCGGCATCATGCTGTGGGGATGATTTTCAGTGGTAGGAACTGTGAGACTAGTCAGGATCGAAGGAAAGATGAATGCAGCAATGTACAGAGACATCCTTGATGAAAACCTGTTCCAAAGCCCTCTGGACCTTAGAATGGGGCTATGGTTCATCTTTCAACAAGACAACGACCCTAAGCACACAGCCCACATAACAAAGGAGTAGCTACAGGCCAACTCTATGAATGTCCTGGAGTGGCCCAGACTTGAACCTGATTGAACATCTGTGGAGAGATCTGAAAATGGCTGTGCACCGACGCTCCCCATCCAACCTGATGGAGCTTGAGAGGTACTGTAAAGAATGAGAAAAATGTACCCAAAAATAGGTGTGCCAATCTTGTAGCATCATACTCAAAACAACTTGAGGCTGTAATTGGTGCTAAAGGTGCCTCATCAAAGTATTGAGCAAAGGCTGTAAATACTTATGTACATGTGGGTTTTTTTTAGTAGTTTTTTTTTTTAATAAATTGCAATTCAAAACGAACTTCTTTCATGATGTCATTATGGGGTATTGTTTGTAGAATGTTGAGGGAAAAAATTTTATTTAATCCATTTTGGAATAAGACTGTAACATAACAAAATATGGAAAATGTTAAGCTCTGTGAATACTTTCTGGATGCACTGTACATATATATTGTGCATTCACATCAATCCCTAACCCTCAAGGGGCGTACAATCTAAGGTCCATCACATTCATACATACTAGCGGCAATTTTGACAGGAACCAATTAACCTACCAGCATGTCTTTGGAGTGTGGGAGGAAACCCACGTAGGCACAGGGAGAACATGCAAACTCCAGGCAGGTGGTGCCGTGGTTGGGATTCGAACCAACGACCTTAGCACTGCCAGGTAGAAGTGCCAACCATTTAGCCACTGTGCTGCGCTCTCTCTCTCTCTCTCTCTCTCTCTCTCTCTCTCTCTCTCTCTCTCTCTCAAAAGGGCACTGAAGTTCCTTCTTAGGGGAGGAAATGTGCATGTAGTTGTGAACTGCATGTTTTTAAAAAATTTTGCCCTGACATACAGTGTGTCCGTTATTATTTCAGTGCAAGAGATTAATGGGATGACAAAAAACAACAACGTACCAGTACATGGAGTCTGTTCTCAGTCTTAAACTTATCAGCAAATTCCCAGATTTCTTTTGGATTAGACATATCCAACAGGTGTACCAAGACACTCTGGAAAGAAAAAACAAAAAAAAAACATAAGACCCCCTAATTACCAGAGCCTAATTACCAGTTTATTTTTAGTCTGAACCAAACTTTGTTTTGTTTTTTTTATAGCTCTGGATAAGACAGAGAAGGGTTACCAAATCTGTTATGTTTTGTTGCTGTCTGTTCGCCTGCTAGGAAATTCCCCTCTCCCTTTCTTCGTCTACGATCACAAGGACAGGAAGGCAGAGGAAATCAATGGGTACACATACAGCAGTAACAAACTGACAGATGTAGGCTGGAGTGACAGCAATATTAGTTTTATTTTATTTTGTATCGCTGAAGAGCAGACACAACAAGCTATGAATCTAGTTAAGCAAAACACATCAGTGTCTTTGGTACCAGGATTTCAAGTGACATTATAATAAACTTGTGTTATACAAGGTCAACAGAATCGCTATCCAATATAGACAAGAGAAGAACCCATATTTTGTTGAACTTCTTTTGCACAATCCCTTGTTTCAGAGGTAAAATTATAACATCTAAGGGCCTAATTTATCAGAACTTTCCAAGATTTCAAAGGTGAGACCATGCATGTCAAGACTGGTTGTTTCCGATTTAATATAAAGGTGCACACATATACCTAAGTTATATGTCATCCTACTGTCGAGCGTCTTCCCTGCCCATCCCCTGTTACGTCCAAGCCTGGGAGTGGGAACTGGGATATACTCCCCTTTGGCTTGGGATAAAGCTTTCCTTTCTGCTTTTAAACTAACCATAGCATCACAAGTGCAAGAAAGGAACTTCAAAATACTGACCAGATGGTACTGTTGCCCAGCCATGTTGCACAAGCTCATCCTGTCGATACCAGATCAATGTTGGAGATGTGTACCACCTGGCTCTCCATATCTCCACGTGTGGTGGTCCTGTCTCAAAATCCGAATGTTTTGAAAGGATATTTTTCAGTTAAGTCATCTTATTATGGATGGAACATGGCCAGAAACACCTGAGGTGACCCTTCTTTCTAGGACTCGGTTCTATCAAAAAAATCAAGAAGAGCCTGTTCTGATTTCTACTCCTGGCAAGCTGGGTCTTGATTCCCAGACATTGGAAATCTCCCACCCCACCTGCCATACGAGAATGGGTTCTGGAAATAAACCTCATTATGAGGATGGAGGAACTACTTGCTATTGCCAATGAAAATTTTACCAAATTTCGGGAACTGTAGTTCCATGGATAGAATTTTCTGACTCCAAAAGTTTGCCCTTCATCAGATAATCCGCTACTTGGCATTCCTTTATTAGCCCAGTCAGGCTGGTCCCCTTGTTGGACCTTTCTTTTTCTTCCTTCTCTCCCTCTTTCTATCCTCCCCTACTCTCAAACCCCCTGCCTTTTTGTTTTTGACTTTTTTTCCTTTTTAAAAATGTGGCAATAGCTTAACTATTACGCTGGATTCCCACAGACAACTTCCTGCAGTGGGCACTTGTATGCTCGCCTAGACCAGTGATCTCCAAACTGAGGCCTTTGCTTGCATTTATCTAGCCCTTGAGGAACAATTTCTCCTATTGACACCAACAATGAGGCACCATCCCCTTCACTGACATCAACAATGGGGCATAATTCCTACCACTAAACACCCAATGATGGAACATTGTTCTTCCCACTGATACCAAGGACAGAGCAAGACTCCCTTCACAGATACCAATGACAGGGAACTATTCCTTCCACTGACACTAATAATACGGCACAATTAATAATTTCTTTACTCCCACTGACCACCAAACCAGATGCATTCCTTACTCTCACTGACACTGGGGAATATTCTAGTCCCACTGGCATCAGTTATGACGGCACCCCTATAGACTGAAGGACAGTAAACTGGCCCTTCATTTAGAAAGTTTGGAGACCCCTGGCCTAGATGACCAGAATCAGATGGACAGAGAAAGATGTGGCATCACAAGTCTTTACACTATGGAGGAAATAATATAGCCATTAGTGTCACTTTAAATAGCTGGACTTCCTTTAAACCGTTTCAATACCGTGTGATTTTACACCTTCCTGCCCAGGCCATTTTTCAGGTTTCAGCGCCCTCACACTTTGAATGACAATTGCGCGGTCATACAACACTGTACCCAAACTAAAATTTTATCATTTTCTTCACACAACTAGAGCTTTCTTTTGGTAGTATTTAATCACCGCTGGGGTTTTTATTTTTTGCTAAATTAACAAAAAAAGACCAAAAATTTTGAAAAAAAAACACATTTTTCTTTGTTTCTGTTATAAAAGTTTACAAATAAATAATTGTTCTTCATAAATTTAGGCCGAGATGTATTCTGCTACATGTCTTTGGTGAAAATAACCCAAATTAGGATGTATTTTTTAGTTTGTAGGAAAGTTATAGAGTTCACAAACTATGGTATAGATCTGAATATTGATCAATCCTGAAGTACTGACAGCCAATCTAATTTCTTGAGGTCCAAGAATGTCAGAATAGTACAGATATCCCCAAATTACCCCTTTTTGCAGAGTAGACAGTCCGACGTACTTCATAAGAGGCATGGCGAGTTTTTTGAAGTTGTATTTTTTTGTCATAATTTTTCGGAAAATGAAAAAATTAAAAAAATTATTTTCACTATTTTTTTTTTTTACATACTGTCACCAGTGCAGTACAGCGTCTTCATATAACTGGCATGGCGGTGAACATGGACACTGACTGGTGACAGTATGAAAAAAAAAATATATATTTTTTTTATTTTTTTTTATTTTTTTTATTATATTTAATTTATTAAATTTTTTTAAAGATTTTTTTTTTTCATATTTTACTATGACCAAAGTAGTACAATGTTACCATAGTAACATTGTACTACTTTGGGGGAGTGATCAGTATTTTTTTTTTTTTTTTTTTTTTATACACAGTTTGCTTATAGCAAAGAATTACTTTGCTATAAGCAAGCATTTAGCTGAATGAAATCGATTCATTCAGCTTTTTTTTTTTTTTTGTGCTTAGCTGTGATTTGGTCACAGCTAATCACATGACATGTGCATGTGACCTGCTGTGACCATTCACAGCTAGGCACTAGTATACAATGGATGGCATCATGAATGAAGCCATCCATTGTATACAACTATCATGTGACCTGCTGTGATTGGTCACAGCAGGTCACATGGTACCAGCTACGGGAGCCGGTACTCGGATCTGTCATCGGCCGTGTCCGAGGTGCACGGCCCGTGACAGATCCCGCTGCTGCGCCGCTCTGCTGTGCCGCAAACTGCGCATGTGCGGGAGCACGCCAAATGGCGTGCACCCGAAATTTAGGAGCGCATTTCAAGCCGCCAAACGGCCATTGGCCGGGCGGCTAATGGTTAATCCCTACTGTTTGAATGCCACATGCCTTAAAGTGCAAATATCTGAAGAAGGTTCCAAATAATAAAACCAACAAATTCTGTCTGAATCTGAGCAAGGCTCTCATAGTGGTTTGTTTCAAATGGCTTTTCCCCAAGAGGTGTTAGAATATCAGCTAAGATGTTACTGAGTCTCAAAGGTTGTTGGTGGAGAAGAGAATACTTTCTGAAGGGAATGTTGCATGCATATTCAAAAACTCAGCTTAAAAAGAAGACAAAGGGCAGAGATTTTTTACACGACTTGCACGAGCTTCCATTAAAAGGTTAAAAATGTTAGCTTCTAAAGCCTGCATACATTATTTTTATGTAATGTAAATAATCAGTGTTTATTTCAAATTGGGCTGCAATGCAGATTATGTGAGGTGCAAGCATTTATACAATGACTTTACCTCATTCCCACTGTTTGTAATTATCTCCTTTTTTGCTTCTTCTGCTCTGTCCTTGTTTCTGCATACCAGGTGAACAGTACCACCTACAAAAATTCAAAAACACATCAAGTAACAATATATTACTACTGATGGGCAAAACCTCAGATATTGTAATTTGTCTCCAAGGGCCTTCTTAGTGTTGATGCAGATTTACCTCCCTTCATAATTTCACCGAAAACATGCAGAAGAATTTAAGATAGATTTACGTTTTTTGAGAAATCCTGAATCTGTTTTGGACCTTTTTCTGCATCTCCCATATTTTACCAGAACCATAAAAAATCTAATTTCAGAGTTCACTAGCCAAAGCTTGTTATACTGTACACTTAGATACTCTTTAACCCTTTTGTTGCCAGAGCCATTTCTTTTTCTTAATTTTTTGCACAAATGGTTAAAATGAACATTTTAGGCCTAAAGACCCCACACATTTTATATAATTTCTGAAAGCAAACACCCTGTAGAATATATATGTAAAGGGCAGTGTAAATTGACGGATCTATACAAGTACCTATAATAAATAAATTATATACACACACCTCAAAAAAATTAAAGGAACACTGAAAACACATCAGCTCTCAATGGGGAAAAATATAATGCTGGATATCTATACCGATATGGACTGGGTAATGTGTTAGGAATGCAAGGATGTCCCATCATTTGATGGAAATGAAAATAATCAACCTTCAGAGGACTGAATTCAAAGACACCCCGAAAATAAAAAAAATGATGCAGCAGGCTAGTCCATTTTGCTGAAGTTTCATTGCAGCAACTCAAAATGGTACTCAGTAGTTTGTATGGCCCCCATGTGCTTGTATGCATGCCTGACAACATCGGAGCATGCACCTAATGAGACGACGGATGGTGTCCTGCGGTATTTCCTCCCAGATCTGGACCAGGGCATCACTGAGCTCCTGTACAGTCTTGAGGTACAACCTGGCGGAGTCGGATGGAGCAAAATATGATATCCCAGAGGTGTTCTATTAAATTTAGGTCAGGCGAATGTGGGGGCCATTCAATAGTATCAATTCCTTCATCCTCCAGGAACTGCCTGCATACTCTCGCCACATGGGGCTGGGCATTGTCGTGCACCAGGTGGAACCCAGGACCCACTGTGTCACTGACCCTAGCCAAATGCAAAACTAGTGAAAAACAGCCAAAAAAGAGGAGTAGGGAAAAAAAAAAGTCAATGGCCTCCACTTGTAAAACCATTCCTGTTTCGTTGACGTCACCAGCTGCTGCTCCATAGAATATCTCATAAATGGTAAATGTTTAGGAAATATTGAATAGTTCTACAACTAAGCTTTATTATAAGCTTACCTGTAGGTTAAAATAAAAATACCACTTTTTACTACCACTTTAACCTTACCTCTTTTAGCTATGGCCAAAGCAGCTGCTTTTCCGATCCCACTATTTGCTCCAGTGATCATATAGGATTTTCCTGTAACATCAACTTGCAAATCTTCTGTCACAAAGTACTTGGCTGCAGACTCATATCCACCTCTGTGAAAGGCCATTACAAAATACAATAAAAGTTCATAACTAGGGATCAACACAAAAACAAAAATATAATAATAGAATTGTTCAATCAAAAGTGGCGTGAATGGTTTAAAAAAAAAAAAAACAATCATGCCTTTTATTTCTGCAAATTATTATTTTGCATCACAGTATGGACATGGTGCATGGTCCATAATAACTGGTACAGTGGACAGTTATATAGAAAAAAAGTCCTTAATAGTACTTAGCCCCAGTTATACCAACCAACCACTATGCTGTGTAGTGTGTGACATCAGATCCCCACCCAGTCTCCCGGAAGCTGAGAAATACTATCTAAACTGTGTACTTTGGATGGCTGTAGAGCAGAGAGGACTGCACATAAATGAGTACAACATAAGTAAAAAGATTTGCTTCATCTCTGTGTATCACCTGAGGCAAGTCACTTCACTGGGTATATATAAAAGAGTTTAATGTCACTTAAAAAGTAGAACTGTAGGCAAAACTGTTTTTCTCCATTTTGGATAGAGGAAGTGAGGGTTATAACCCCCGTCAATTTATATTTTTGCCATTTGTGTTCCACTGGGGAGATTTCCCTTCACTTCCTGTCCCATTGCCAAACAGGAAGTGAGAGGAAATCCTACAAATTAGGGGAATTCCTTGGCGACCCTCAGGTCACCAGAACTAGTGTCCCCATTGGAAGATTTCCCCTTTATTACTTTCCTGGGGACAACCCAAAATTTTGGGTTTTTCTTTTACTTTCCTTATCAATGATAATGGTAAACAGGACAAATAGAGAAGGCAAGTCTCCTTAATGGGGGCACAGACTGCAATAGAACCTAATAGTTATTCTAATCCCGCTTCACTCTATCCAAAACTATAAAAAAAAAAAAAAAAAAGTAGTTTTGCCTTTAGTTATACTTTAATGACAGCCATGGTGCTACCAAGTCAGGAATGATGGTTTATCACACAACTGTCCTATGCCAGTAGTTGGATCTGTTCTGAAGGAGATGCTGACCGTACAATTCCTGACACAGAATAATCTACAAATATATATAATAAATACATTTATGATTATTCCACCAAACAACAAGCATGTAAAATATCAAAGTCAGATTACACGTTACAAATACACAGCTCTCCAGTTTTGGGGTGTATGACCTGTGCAAGGCTATCTACAGGTCTGCTAGCAGTCCCGGAAATGTTTGCACAATCCCGAAAACAGAAATCGGAAGTACACAGGGCACCGTCCCTATGTTCCTCACTAACCACACTTGAGGAAGTTTATTTATCACCAATTATTACTGGTTTACAAAGATTTAGTACCCCTATTATTACAATACGGTTATTACACTGTTACATAGTTGATAGACTCGTGACTGTTTCATAACCAATTAAGGACCAGGCTTTTTCTGGCACTTTTTGTTCACATGTAACAATGTTTTGTTTCCTAGAAAATTATTTAGAACCCCCAAACATTATACATTTTTTAAAAGCAGAGACCCTAGATCAGCGGTTCTCAACCTGGGGGCGACCCCTTTGGGGGGGGGTCGAACGACCATTTCACAGGGGTCGCCTAAGACCATCGGAAAACACATATTTCCGATGGTCTTAGGAACCGAGACACCGCTCCTGTCTCAGGCGATCTGTGGGCGGGATGATATGCTGCCCCTGTAACCTGGCCACACCTCCGGGATCACTCAACAGCTCCGCCTCCTCACCGCTGAATGGCCACCGGAACTGTAGCTCAGGAGAGGCACACAGGCGGCCAATCACCGGCGAGGAGGTGGAGCTTGGAGAGGAGGAGCCGAGCGGCAGCACGCGGAGATCAAAGAAGATCGAGGGAGCTGCAGGAGCGAGTGAAGAGAGAGAGCCAGAGAAGGAAGACAGCTGACAGGTAAGTGCAAATTTTGCTGCTGCAGCCAGGTATGCAGGCTGTAGATGGGAGAGGGAGAGAGCGAGCCCAGGCTGGAGCAGGAGTCAGCAAGGTAAGTATCATTGGTGTAAGTGGAAGGGATAGTGCCCCATCATTGGTGTCCCTAATACCAACAATGGGGCACTATTCCTCCCCCCACTGACACCAACGATGGGGCACTATTCCTCCCACTGACACAAATGATGGGGCACTTTTCCTCCCCCCACTGACACCAACGATGGGGCACTATTTCCCTCCCCCCACTGACACCAACGATGGGTCACTATTCCTCCCACTGACACCAATGATGGGGCACTATTCCTCCCACTGACACCAATGATGGGGCACTATTCCTCCCACTGACACCAATGATGGGGCACTATTCCTCCCACTGACACCAATGATGAGGCACTATTCCTCCCACTGATACCAATGATGGGGCACCCTATTCCTCCCACTGACACCAATGATGGGGGGCACTATTCCTCCCACTGACACCAATGATGAGGCACTATTCCTCCCACTGATACCAATGATGGGGCACTATTCCTCCCACTGACACCAATGATGGGGCACTATTCCTCCCACTGACACCAATGATGGGGCACTATTCCTCCTATTCCTCCCACTGACTCCACAATGGGGCCAATGATGGGGCACTATTCCTCCCCCACTGACACCAATGATGGGGCACTATTCCTTCTCCCCACTGACACCCAAAGATGGGGCACTATTCCTCCCACTGACACCAATGATGGGGCACTATTCCTCCCACTGATACCAATGATGGGGCACTATTCATCCCATTGATACCAATGATGGGGCATTATTCCTCCCACTGATGACCAATGATGGGACACTATTCCTCCCACTGATACCAATGATGGGGCACTATTCCCCCCACTGACACCTCCTCCCCAATGATGGATGGGGCACTATTCCTCCCACTGACACCAATGATTCCTCCCCTGATACCAACTGACACCAATGATGGGGCACTATTCCTCCCACTGATAATGCCAATGATGGGGCACTATTCCTCCCACTGATACCAATGATGGGACACTATTCCTCCCCACTGACACCAATGATGGGACACTATTCCTCCCCACTGACACCAATGATGGGACACTATTCCTCCCACTGACACCAATGATGGGACACTATTCCTCCCACTGACACCAATGATGAGGCACTATTCCTCCCACTGATACCAATGATGGGGCACTATTCCTCCCAATGATACCAATGATGGGACACTATTCCCACTGACCCAATGATGACACTATTCACCAATGATGGGGCACTATTCCTCCCACTGACACCAATGATGGGACACTATTCATCCCACTGATACCAATGATGGGACACTATTCATCCCACTGACATCAGTGATGGGGCGCTAGTCCCCCTGACACCAATGGGGCACTAGTCCTCCCACTGCAAAATACAGTTATGAAGTAGCAACGAAAATAATTTTATGGTTGGGGGTCACCACAACATGAGGAACTGTATTAAGGGGTCACGGCATTAGAAAGGTTGAGAACCACTGCCCTAGATAATAAATTGGTGGGTATTGCAATTTTTTATGTCACATGGTATTTGTGCAGCAGTTTTTCAAACACAATTTTTTGGGAACAAAATACTTTTTTTATTTTTATTTTAATGCAAGAAAAAAAAAAAAATTCACAATACATAACCCAATTTTTGGTAAAATATACAAGATTATGTTACACCAAGTAAATAGATACCAAACATGTCATGCTTTAAAATTGCACACCCCCATACAACGACGACAAACAATGTAAATTCTACTACCCATTACTACCCATAGGAAAAGCTTTAAAAGCCTTCACAGGTTACCACTTTAGATTTACAGAGGAGGTCTGGTGCTAAAATAACTGCCCAAGTTCGCCGTGATACCTCATGTGTGGGACAATTGCTTTTTGTGTGTGTGTGTGGGGCCAACACGTGTGTTTGCATTTGTGTGCAAGCATGGTGCACTTTAAATTTTTTTAAATTATTTATTCCTACACTGTCACTTTAAGAAAAAAAAATCTTTTTGATCCCTTTTATTGCAGTCACAACATCCCTTGTGACAATAGTCATGTGACAGGTACTCGTTATGGAGGGATCTGGAGTCAAGGAGACCCCAATCCCTGCTCTGCCTGTAAAAGCATTCAATCACACTAAGATCGCAAGATTGAATGCTTTTATTTTTTTTTTTTTAAATGATGCTGATTGTTGTTTCCGAGTAAACCAGAAGTGATGTCCCTGTGACTAGCCGATGGCAGCAATGGCTGGTCGTTCGGGCCCGCCCAATTGGACGGGAGATCAAAGCAGTGGAAATCATCTCGGGAATCATCTCCGCAATGTGCTTGTAAGCACATTGCAGAGATGATTGTTAAACAGTAACTTTATTATACAACATGAAAATAATGGCAGAGCGGCCCTCCTCAGTGTGGCATTACACAATGATTACAGTTACATTCCTTACATGACAGTTCTGCATACTGGATACACAGCTCCCACAAACTGCAGAATATTTACTATGAACAAAAAATACATTATTCCAACTGAAATTTGTTATTTGATCGGTAACCCCTTAGAAGGGGTGGACTGACAACTCATGGAGCCCCTGGGCAATAGGGGATCATGGGGCCCCTGTGTCCTTGCCCACACCCAATAAAGTCTATGAAAAAGCCAATGAAAGATACCAGGGGCATCTTGTGGGGCCCCTTACTGACCCCGGGCCCTTGGGCAGCGCCTGAGTGCTCAAATGGTCAGTCCGCCCCTACCCCTTAGGTGACTAACACCTCAGAGCTAAACACTTAGGCTCACCGACATTCCTGCAACACACCGAGGACTGCTGTAGCTCTGGGGGTTAACCCCTTCACGCTGGCCGCACACAAATGTGCAGCCTCCCGGCGTCTGGGCCTAGACGCCGAGCGGCCGCACATTTGCGTGCAATTAACAAAAACATATGTGCTGAGAGGGCGCACCCTGCGCGCTCCCAGCACACGTCTGGTACTCACGGAAAGGTCCCGGTCTGCTCTTTCAATTGGGACCTTTCCCGATCATGTGACGACACATCACGGCGGTCACATGGTCCTTAAACCCCGCCTTCCGGCTTCTGAAACTCTTAAAGGGCCGGGAGACGCCGGCGGGAAGGGGTTAAAATTGTGTTGCGCTGAATGTAGACTCACATCTATGCTGCACTTCCTAATGAAAGACAACCAGTTTTCAAAAAATAAAATATCAAACCCACTCTTAGGCCCCATGTACACGGGACACTTCTGAACGAGCGAAACTGACTGCTGGAAAACATAGGTTAAAAAAACGTCTGTTTAGCCACGTTTATGCGCGTTTGCGTTTAGAAGAATTTTTTTTAAAGATAAGCACAGAAGAACCTCCCAAATACCCAGAATGCACTGAAAGTGGTAAATTATTAACTATTTCAGACTGTTTCAGAGAAATACAGAGAGTAGAAGCAGAGACAGAAGTATGTGTTGAGGTTAGTTTAGGTTTAACATTTCTTTTGTTTCCAAGGGTGGGAAAGGTGTCTGCTGGAGTGAGTCATTAAGGTCACCTGGCAGGGGGTCGCCATGAGGTGTGAATGGTCATAAACATATCTTTTGTTTCCAAGGATGGGAGAGGTCTGAGGTGTGAATTGGTCATTACAATGTGTGACCAGCTTGGTAGGAACATCCTGTGTTCAGTGTTTTGTCCATCTGAGTACCTTGAAAATGCTTTGCATGCATTTTTCATGTTGAAAAAAGGCTCTGGACAGCATCGGGAACTGGAAGAGTTAAAAAATTTCAAACGCAAACACTTATAAACACGATTTGCCACGTTTAGCCGCGTTTACAAGCGTTTTGTGTTTGAAACACTGATAAACTCAACTGCTGAACACAAGTTTTCTGCGTTCAACAAAACGACTGTAAACTCAAATGCCTGTAAATGACTGTAAACAAAGATGTGTACATGGACACATAGGAAAACATTAGGGAGAGTTCAGGGGCTGCTGAAAAAAAACACTGAACAGCTCCTAGCCGTGAGGTTATCAGCTGCAGTGTACATGAGCCCTATGTGTACACCCAAATAATCAAATAACTTCTTTAGTGTCTACAGATCGACAAGGTGGAAATGGCGCACACTGGAGCCACGCCCTTATATAGATAGGTAAAGATACGGCTTCAGCCTGAACTCCTCCTGGCTATGCTCCTTTTCTTTACACGTGTGTGCGGTTGCGGTGCATTCCAGTGCAGAAAAATGCTGCATGTTGTACTTTTTTTTTTGTAAATGCACTGCAATGTTGTAAACTAGGCTCACTGGAATGCATCTATTGTTCATTCATACTGTATTTATGCTGCATTTAAAAACACACATGACTACCAATGAGCCCTAAAGTGTATCTAAAGTTTTTTTTTGGTTGTCCTGGGGGGTTAGACCCTCTGTCAGGTTTTTACTGCTGTGTCCCCACTGGAGAAATTCACCCTCTTGACTTGTCCTAATTACGGATGAGTTGCGGCGTGTACAAACAGGAAGCAGAACCCACCACACATATCCTACTGGGAAGCTGTCAAAGCGGCCAGCCAATCATGTGCGGCGGAGGCATTCCCCGCAGCCACACCTATACACCCCCCTTCCATACATGTGGCTAAGGGGTGGGTTATGCCTCGGCCACCTGGACATGGCTCAGCTCATCTCTGGTCCTAATGATCACTGTCACTGGGACAGATAGTGATAGCAAATCCAACATTGTGAGCTGCCAGCACAGGAAGAGAGGGGAATCTTCCCCCCGGGGACACTTGTTCTGATGACAACTATATCAGCAGAACAGCAGTGAGGGAAACTCGTGTTTTCTGTATCATGATCAGAACGCCCTGGGTGTGTGATCTGCTGAGGGTGTTCATTTAAAATGGACACCCCAAAAGCAGCATGTTTGCCTGCACCGGATCAAATGGTGCTTCGGTACCACACGTTCCAGTTGCAGTGAATTTTTGAAAAGTAGTACATGCACTTCTTTTGGTGCAATCCGATGCGATCGCTGCCTATGGCCGGAAAATCGCACTGCGCCGAATTGCATAGGAATTGTACAGGAACATGGAGATCGTTTCTGCATGACTCAGGTGTGGAGCAGCCCTGAGAGGAGATGAGAAGGACTCTCCCATTGGGACAAAGATGGCATAAATATGACCAGGGATCTAACCCTTCCAACACTCCATCCAAAAGTCACAGAGTGAAGTACAAGAGAGAAATCATCCGCAGACACAGGAATGTAAACAAGGAAGAGAAATCCCGTCACCATGGTGACCAGTCATGAGTGATCTGCACTCCACAGTCTGCACTAGAGGAACACAGATAGGACCTGGTTACCATAGGCAACGCCGCGTATGTTTGATGGAGGGCGAGCACACTGTACTTACTTGGTGTACTCCCGGAGCCCCTTCAGGAACCACACGGTGTTTCTGTACAGAGACATGACTATCATGGGCTCCCTTCTCCCCCTCTACACACCCCTGTCTATGGGCACTCCGCTCAGGGCCCGCCCATTGCCGGGATCACATGACCTCACCCGGCTATGTAACCTCTCCCCTCCTCCTGAGAGCTGTGCACACGGTGTTGCCGGTTGTGTAACCTCGTGGGAGCTGTTGTCGTGCAGTGTCCGGGTGTCATATACAGGGTGTCATATACAGGGTGTCATACACAGCCCCACACTCTGCAATCTACATGACAAACCATTCCTGGACACGTGTTCATTGTTTACACCAGGAGGCTCCAGCCTGCTCTGTGTGAGGGCCACGTTGCATTCCCACCAATCACTTCTATACATTCATCAATACAATCTAAATGTAGGAAAACGTTTAACTTGGAGAGTTTTCTTCTTTTATAATCAGCATTTAGTTCAACAGAGAAAACAAACCAGGACGGCCATTTACATCTTCACATTTATTATTTCAGGTACTTATATAGCACTGTCAATGTACGCAGCACTGTACATATAGTATATTCACATCCGTCCCTAATCCTCAAGGGCGTACAATCTAGGGTCCCTAACTTACATTCATACATACACATACTAGGGACAATTTAGACAGGAGCCAATTCACCTACCAGCATGTCTTTGGAGTGTGAGAGGAAACCGGAGTACCCGAAGGAAAACCCACGCAGGCACAGGGAGAACATGCAGACTCCAGGCAGGTGGTGCCGTGGTTGGGATTTGATCCCACAATCCGAGTACTGCCAGGGGGAATGTGTAATTACACCTGAACATGGCGGATAGAGCAGCCCATTCCATGCACTCACCCACCCGGGAGAATTGTGGGGAGACAAGTCCTGACTGTTATGTGACATCATGTTGCAGTGAGTCGCATGGTGCTGCACCCATCATTAACTCTCACCATGGATGGTGATGTGTGCTCTGTACAGTGCACTGCATTCCTCTGCCATTTCACAGACATGTCAGCCTGGCCTAGAACAAAGCACCAAAAATCCTGAGCTCATCAGAGTCCCCCTTACATCAGAATCCCCCTTACGTCACAGTCCCTCTTACATCAAAGTCCCCCTTACAACAGAGTCCCCCTTACTTCAGAGTCCCCAATACATCAAAGTCCCCCTTACATCAGAGCCCCCCCTTACATCACAGTCCCCTTACATCACAGTCCCTCTTACATCACAGTCCCCCTTACATCAGAGTCCCCAATACATCAAAGTCCCCCTTACATCAGAGTTCCCTTTACATCACAGTACCCCTTACTTCACAGTCCCTCTTACATCAGAGTCCCCCTTACATACATCTCACAGTCCCCCTTACATCAGAGTCCCCCTTACATCAGAGTCCCCCTTACATCAGAGTCCCCCTTACATCAGAGTCCCCCTTACATCAGAGTCCCCTTTACATCAGAGTCCCTCTTACATCAGAGTCCCCTTACATCAGAGTCCCCCTTACATCAGAGTCAATCTTGCATCAGAGTCCATCTTGCATCAGAGTCCATCTTGCATCAAGTCCCCCTTACATCAGAATCCCTCATACATCAGAGTCTCCCTTACATCAGAGTTCCCTTACATCAGAGTTCCCTTTACATCAGAGTCCCTCTTACATCAGAGTCCCCCTTACATCAGTGGGCCAAATAAAATCTTGCAGCAGGCTGGACTTGGTTTACCTTCGTTTCACTCCTCCATACCTCCATTCAACCACTGGGAGCTAATGACAGTCCTGTGAATGTTAGGAGTCAACAGTCACCATGGACCCAGACTAGGTGGTATAGAGGGATTTGAGCTAGGAGCGGATCTTCCCCTCTCACAGCCGAGCCTCAGATAGCTTTGGGATGTCAAACACGACACATTCACATTTCAATATCAACTTTTGACAAGCCGTTGAAGAAACGTGGAGTTCTGCCTGCTGTGCACGGGGTCTATGATCGGCTGGATGTGATGTCAGAGGTAATAACCTGCAAAGCGATTTAATGCTCATAACAACGCATGTTAACACACATACAATGCACATCAATGGAAGGCAATGTGCATCTAATTTCAAGCATTTGTATGTATTTTAACTACCTCCTGTCTGGCCTCTGCATTGAGTGTGCCTATACGGCCTTCCCCATCAGCCATGCAGGGCTCCTAGAGCATGCAGTGACATGCTTTGTAATCGCTGTTTCCCTCAGCCACAGCTGATCACAGAGTGGGGTACAGTGGGGTTTAGTGGGGTACAGGGTCACATAAATTGGCCCTGTACCATGTACAGGAATACCTCGGTTTACCAGCGCCTTGGGTAACGTAATTTTCGGTTTACGAATGAAAATCCATTGAAAATAATGCCTCGGTTTACAAATTTTTTACAAATTTGTTGTGCAATACGAAGTGTATGTCGATGCCAATTTTTCAATGCAATTGCCGGCTTTTTTTTTTTCCACTATAGCTCACAGAATTAGCTGTCACTTTCCCCGGAGTCAAAGGAAACTTTATTTCTTTTAAGAAACTAAAAGGAAACATTGTTTCTCTTAACTTGGGGAAATACAGTAATCAAAAAGGAAACTCTCTCTTTAGCTGGGGGAAAGTGACAGCTGAATTTCTGAGCTATAGTGAAGAAAAAAAATCAGTAATTACATTTAAAAAACGGCACCATAATAAATAAAAAAAGGCGTGGGGTCCCCCCTCCCATCCACACCAAGCCCTTCGGGTCTGGTATGGATCTTGAGGGGAAGTCCCACGCCAAAATAAAAAAAAATGGTGTGGGGGTCCCCCCTACCATCCATAGCAGACCCTTATCCGAGCATGCAGCCCGGCAGGTTAGTAAAGGGGGTAACAAGCGAGCCCCCCCTACACAATACCAGGCCACATGCCCTCAACATGGGGGGGTGCCTAGGGGCAGGGTGGCTCCCCACAAGGGCCTCTTCCCCACAACCCTGGCCTGTGGTTGTGGGGGTCTGTGGGCAGGGGGCTTATCGGAATCTGGAAGCCCCCTTTAACAAGGGGGCCCCCAGATCCCAGCCCCCCCCATATGAATGAGTATGGGGTACATGGTCCCGATAATCATTTACAAAAAAAAAATAATAGTGTAGTGTGAAAAAAGATAGAACACGGTCTTTGACAAGTCCTTTATTAAAAGAAAAAACTAAAAGAATGTCCCCCACAGTAGATCCAACGTCAATGACGATGCCGTCCACATGCTGCCAACCCGGAAAAAATAATTTTAAAAAAAGGCTCCGCATCCAACGATGGCTCCCGCCGTCTGCCTGCTCTAGTGGTATGACAGTTCTTAAATAGGTAAGGGGCGGGGCCACCCAGGTACATCACACATGTGACCTTACCCCTTGTGACAGCAATGATGTCAATCACCCCTTACCTATTTAAGAACTGTCAAACCACCGGAGCAGACAGACAGCGAAGGCGGACATTATGATTGACGTTGGATCTACTGCGGGGGACATTCTTTTAGTTTTTTCCTTTAAAAAGGACTTGTCAAAGACCGTGTCCTGTCTTTTTTTCACACACTTTTTGTTTTTTGTGAATCAGTATCGGGACCATGTACCTCATACTCATTCACATGGGGGGGCCGGGATCTGAGGGCCCCCTTGTTAAAGGGGGTTTCCAGATTCTGACAAGCCCCCTGCCCGCAGACCCCCTCAACCACCGGCCAGGGTTGTGGGGAAGAGGCCCTTGTCTCCATCAACATGGGGACAAGGTGCTTTGGGAGGGGCCCTCCTGCCCCAAAACACCCCCCCCATGCTGAGGGCATGTGGCCTGGTATGGTTCAGGAGGGGGGGGGGGCGCTCGCTTGTCACCCCCCCTTTCCTGACCTGCCGAGCTGCATGCTTGGATAAGGGTCTGGTATGGATTTTGGGGGGGACCCCCACGCCATTGTTTTTTAAATTTTGTCGTAGGAGTTCCCCTCAAAAACCATACCAGACCCGAAAGGCTTGGTATAGATGGGAGGGGGGACCCCACACCATTTTTTTAATTTATTTTTTTAATTGCCGGTAATTTGTTTTACATTCAGCTGTCAGTTGTCACTACTAAAATACCGCATGACTTGATAAAATAACTCATGCTGTATTTTAGTCGCATTTACTTTTTTCTGACCTCAGGTACGGATGAATTGGTTTTCCTGGTGCGACTAGCCATCAGAGACCGCAGTGCTTTAGATGATCCCACACTTTAGATAAAGAGCTATGGGCAAACTAAATGTTCTGTTGTTTTCCTCAGGAATTCAAGACAGGGGGTTGATTTTTCAGGGTATTTCCTACGTAGAATTAACATTTCCCATAACCACTTCAGACCCACGCTATAGCCGAAACACAGCTACAGCGAGGCTTTCTCATGCTGGGAGGGCGTCCATGGATGTCCTCCCAGAACCATGCACCCCATGTGCCCCCTGGGGCGTGCATCCGGCGTGCTCTGTGATCGCTGTGTCCCTTGGACGCAGCTAATCACAGATTGTGGTAAAGGGCCAATCACAGCAGTCCTTTACCATGTTTTCACCTGTGTCCAATCACAGCTGATCACATGTAAACAAACTTGCTGGTTATCAGCATTCCATTCCTCACAAGCTGTCACAGTATGAGGAGAGGAAAGACAGAAACTCTGCCCTGCAAAAGTGAGGAAAATCTCTTTAACGAATGCTGGGGCAGCAATAAAACCTGAAAGTTACTAAGACAGGGGGCAATTACACAGATAATCAGAGCACTGCTAATCTGTGCTGTGATTATCAGTGTAGGCCCATCAGTGCCACGTATCTGTGCCATCTATTAGGGCTTATCAGTTCCCCGTATCAGTGCCCACTAGTGCTGCCTACCAGTGCCCATCAATGTTGCCTATCAGTGCCCATAAGTGCCACATATCAGTGCAGTCTCATCAGTGCCCATCAGTGAGTGCTGCCTCATCAATGCCCCTCAGTGTAGCCTATCAGTGCCCATCAGTGCAGACTCATAAGTGAACATCAGTGAAGGAGAAAACTGAGTTATTTGCAAAATTTGATACAGAAACTAAGAAAAAAGTTTTTTTGGTAAAATTTTTGGTCTTTTTTAATTTGTTTAGCAAAAAAATAAAAATTCCAGTGGTAATTAAATACCACCAAAAGAAAGCTCTATCTGTCTCAAAAAAAATATAAAAGTGTAATAGGAGTACAGTGTTGCATGACTGCCCAAGTGTGACAGCAATAAAATCTGAAAATTGACCTGGGCAGGAAGGGAGTGTAGTGGGTAACTTAGCAAATCATCACTCTGTGAGTTCAGGTCCACCTTAAAGTGTTACTACATTCAAGATTTTGTTTTGTAAATAAAGATTACAAACATGTTATACTCACCTGTTCTGTGCAGTGGTATTGCACAGGTCGGCCCCAATTCTCCTTTTTTTCGGGTTCAGCATCGGCGGTCTTGGCTCCTGCTCTTCTTTTTGTGTCCCTATAGCAAGCCATTTGCTATGGAGGCACACAGTGCCTGAGTGCTCCCAAGCTGCATGTTTATGGAGCCGTGCTCATGAAAACCGCAAATCCACATTCTCAGAAAATTATGCAGGCCATAGATGGGGAGAAAAACGGCAGATTTTCGGCCGATTAACGAACTATCGGAGGTCAAAAAACTGACCACCAATGAAAATCGGCCGATTAATGAGTAACCTATAACGGGAAATGATGTCATTTTGTGGCCTTTGTGATCCTTTTTCGGAAAACGATCGTTCGTTTTTGACCATCAATGAGGATAAAGTTGGGCGTTTTTCGAAAATTTTCCAACATCACCGATAATCTGAAAGTCCAAAATACACGAAAAACGGTCGACAAAATCGTCCACTAACGATAAGATAATCGGCCGGTTTTATTTTCGGACGAAAAATCGGCCGTTTTTCTCCCCATCTATGGCCTGCATTAGAATATTGTGAAAAGGTGCAATATTCTCGGCTCAAAGTGTCCCACTCTAATCAGCTAATTAAGCCATAACACCTGCAAAGGGTTCTTGAGCCTTTAAATGGTCTCTCAGTCTGGTTCAGTAGGAATCACAATCATGGGAAAGACTGCTGACCTGACAGTTGTGCAGAAAACCATCATTGACACCCTCCATAAGGAGGGAAAGCCTCAAAAAGTAATTGAAAAAGAAGTTGGATGTTCCCAAAGTGCTGTATCAAAGCACATTAATAGAAAGTTATGTGGAAGGGAAAAGTGTGGAAGAAAAAGGTGCACAAGCAGCAGGGATGACCGCAGCCTGGAGAGGATTGTCAGGAAAAGGCCATTCAAAAGTGTTGGGGACTTTCACAAGGAGTGGACTGAGGCTGGAGTCAGTGCATCAAGAGCCACCACACACAGACGGATCCTGGACATGGGTTTCAAATGTCGTATTCCTCTTGTCATGTTGCTCCTGAACAACAAACAACGTCAGAAGCGTCTTACCTGGGCTAAAGAAAAACAGACCTGGTCCAAAGTCCTCTTTTCTGATGAGAACAACTTTTGCATCTCATTTGGAAACCAAGGACCCAGAGTATGGAGGAAGAATGGAGAGGCACACACTGCAAGATGCTTGAAGTCCCGTGTGAAGTTTCCACAGTCTGTGTTGATTTGGGGAGCCATGTCATCTACTGGTGTTGGTCCACTGTGCTTCATTAAGTCCAGGGTCAATGCAGCTGTCTACCAGGAGATTTTGGAGCACTTCATGCTTCCTTCCACAGACGAGCTTTATGGGGATGCTGACTTCATTTTACAGCAGGACTTGGCACCTGCCCACACTGCCAAAAGCACCAAAACCTGGTTCAATGACCGTGGGATTACTGTGCTTGATTGGCCAGCAAACTCGCCTGACCTGAACCCCATAGAGAATCTATGAGGCATTGCCAAGAGAAAGATGAGAGATATGAGACCGAACAATGCAGAAGAGCTGAAGGCTGCTATTGAAGCATTCTGGTCTTCCATAACACCTCAGCAGTGCCACAGGCTGATAGCTTCCATGCCACGCCGCATTGACGCAGTAATTGCTGCAAAAGGGGCCCAAACCAAGCACTGAGTACACATGCATGCTTATACTTTTCAGAGGTCCGATATTGTTCTATGTACAATCCTTGTTTTATTGATTGCATGTAATATTCTAATTTTCTGAGATTGTGGATTTGGGGTTTTCATGAGCTGTAAGCCATAATCATCACAATTATGACAAATCAGCTTGAACTATCTTGCTTTGCATGTAATGAGTCTATCTCATATATTAGTTTCACCTTTTAAGTTGCATTACTGAAATAAATGAACTTTTGCACGATATTCACATTTTTCGAGTTTCACCTGTATTTGTCGTTTCCTACTTAATACATTTCATAATATAAACAGCAAGGAGAAAATCTTGACGATTCAAGTGGGAAGGGCATACTACTTGCCCCCATTTGGACAAGAAGGAAAGAAAGTATACTATCAACATTCGTTGGCAATTAACCTAGTGTCCGAATTGACTACCAAACATGTAAATATGGTACAAACTGTATTTATGTTTTAAGATACCCTATATTGTTGAAATTACAAATATTCTGTATTCATTCGCTGCCGCGTACAAAAATAAATATCTATAAAAAAGAAAAGCTAGATCAGCATTCAGGTTATTTCCAAAGGCTGCAATGTGATATTCACAGTGATATTCAGTTGAATGAACATTTGCATCGAACTTTTTGTCCTCGTTACAACTAATAAAAACTCAGACTACAGCAGCAATGTGGTCACTCGTAGGAGAACACGAGGAACAATAATCCCTATGCACTACAGACAATGTATCCAGATGAAGATTTGGTTATTGTCTTTAATTAACAAAACTGTAAATAACTGAAAAACGTGAAGAAATTAGGAGATTTTATCAGCGCAATGAAAATGTGAATTTATATTAAGAGTTTATCTAATTCCAGTCATAACTGCGTTTTTTTTAATGTGGAACAATATAGATGGAAAGACTTCTCCCTCGCCCATCTCTAGTCCGAGTGTTTTTACACCTTTAGCTCATGATTTTACATGTACTGGTCCTCATCAGCTTCATTGATGAGAATAGACCATTTATCCAGTCTCTCTCCTGTTGACTGCCAAGAATTTTGTCGAGAGATTTTGTTTGCAGACCCTTGGCTGATGTAGCTGATCTGGTCCCAATTACTGGAAATATCTCTTCTTCTGTCATCCATCCCAACATGAACACTTATCTGTGATGGTGTGAGAGGTTTCATGTGGCCTTGGGCTTGGGCTTCATATGTGTCTGTGTCTGGCTTATTGTAGCTGAAAGAATGACACATACAAAAAAAGTTATTAAATATCCATGATTACCTAAGACAAGCCAAAACTTGTAGATTGGTACAGGAATAAACATAACATGGGATCAAGTCAGTAAAGAACACTGAGAAAACCACACTGGAAAATGCTCCCACTCCCACTGTCAAAACCCAGCTGACCTTTCAGTTTCAGTTGTCTAAATAAGGTGTGCAAAGTTTATCCTTTTTAAAAAGTATCCACAGCCTGAGTAGAAAAACCTGTCCCCTACCAGCAAGATGCAGACAGCTTTGCTCTGTGCTGAAGCAATGGTCTCTCTGCAGAGGTCCGACATGCCCTCTGCTGAGTCAGAGCTAAAACTCTCCAATCAGTAGGAAAACTGTGTTTTTCTGATTGGAGAGCTTTAGCTCTGACCTCTGCAGAGAAACTACTGCTTCCACACGGAGGGCATTGGTCCCTTTCTGTGCAGTAACCCAGAGTGAAAAGTTTCCCAGTGAATTACTGCACAGATTTAGAAGAAATACACAAAGCACATCAAGATTCAAGTAACATTATATAATTTAATGTATTTAAAGCAAGTAGCTTCAACCCCAGGTAGCTGTGAAGGTTCAGGCACCATGTACCGTTCACTGCCTACAGTGATGGATAGGTACCCTGCTCCTTAAACACCTTTTGCTTCCCCACAATATCTGCTCACAACCTCCTTGTTTTTAGTTCTATTCCAGCCTATCCTTCCTTGTGAATAAAGGCTATACAACTACTAGTCCTGAAATGGTGAAAGTCTCGGAGGGTGTCCTGGATTTCAACTAACACAGCATGAAAGTGGTTTAACACATTCTTCCTATCACTCTGCATGATCTACTTTTTGAATACTTTGGCTCAGATGGTTACATGCACAAAATGAATTCGGGAAATTATGGACATGGATGTCATACCACTTCCTAAACTAAATCTCTCTAAAACTGAGCTGCTAATATTCCCCCCCCCAACTCCTGCCCTCCTCCATGACTTTTCCATCAAGATCAATAATGCAAATATCAGTTCCTCCCGTCAAGCCAGGGTACTAGGTGTAATCCTGGACTCTGACCTATCATTTCGGCCCCAAATCCAATCGCTGTCAAAAACTTGTAGACTTCACCTTCGTAAAATCTCTAAAATTCGCTATTTAACTAATGAAACCACCAAGCTACTCATTCACCCCCTTGTTATTTCTCACCTTAACTATTGCAACTCCTTTCTCATAGGCCTACCTCTCCATAGTCTATCCCCTGCTGAATGCTGCTGCCAGACTCATCTACCATACCAACTGCTCAGTGTCTGCCACCCCTCTCTACCAATCCCTCCATTGGCTTCCAATTGCCCAACGAATAAACTTCAAAATTCAAACAACAACCTGCAAAGGAATTCACAAGTCTGTCCCGAACTACATCACCAATCTTGTCTCAAATATCACCTAAACAGTCCTCTCCACTCCTCTCATGATCTCCTGCTCTCAAGCTCCCTTGTCTCCTCCTCCCATGCTTGTCTCCAGAGCCTCTCCCATCCTCTGGAACTCTCTACCTCAATCTGTCTGGCTATCCCCTACTCTGGCTGCCTTTAGGCGATCCCTGAAAACTCATCTCTTCAGAGAGGCCTATAACTACTCCGATAAAACTTTTTTCACTTCCATCAGCTCATCCCCCACAGTTATAACCTTTTGAACCATTTGCCCCACTCTATTAGATTGTAAGCTTTTATGAGCAGGGCCCTCCTAATCCTCTTGTTTTTAGTGTATTGTAACTGTATTGTCTCCCGTTATATTGTAAAGCGTTGCACAATCTGTTGGAGCTATATAAATCCTGTATAATAATAATAATGTCAAAGTTAAATCAAAATATGTATGCAAAAGTGACTATTTTCATTGCCGATTGTTCATAAATGGTGAAGATATGCTCTATGTGTTTGTTTGTTTATAATCTACTATACCTTTAAATGTATTGAGGGGGAATGCGATATGTAGATTGTTTTCGGTTGTAGTGTGTATGACTTTGTTATTATTTACCACTTTACTCTTCAATCAGACATCTTCTACAATGTCTGCTGCTCTGACTATTCTAACCTCTGTAGTGGTGCACTTCACCTACTGTGTAACAGTGGCCAGCACATTAATAAAGGTCATGCAGGGGCGGTACTAGACTATTTTGCACCCTAGGCAAGAACAGCTACTTGCGCCCCCCCTTTAAAATAAATAAATAAAATCTTTTACTACTAAATCAACAAAACATGAAACTGTTACATTTCTTTTAATTTGCAAAAATAGGTGCCATAAGATGCCACCAGCACCAATAATAAAGACAAAATATATATTAACCAACTATAAATTAACTGTAATCAGGGTTGCTGTTAGAAAACACGGTGCCCCTTACAGCCAACCTGACAGGGCTCCCCCAAACCACAGGGCCCCAAACAGCCAACCTAACAGGGCCCCCCATGCCCACAAAAAAAAAACACAGTTTACAATGCTTCAGTTATGAATTAACACAGTGAGTGATCAGTACAGAGCACTCATTGTGTTCATTCAGGAATGGAAGAGGCTGGTAAATTACTGGAACTGATCCCCTATATGTTTCTCACTGCAGTAGCTGAAAGCGGGGAGAGGAGAAGAACCCAGCTTTCAGCTGCTACAGAAAGAGCCAAAAAGGATTGGTTCCAGTAATTGCCCCATTCACCCTTCCTGTCCAAATCCAAATCACCCAGCTGCCTGGGCCCCCCTGCAGGCCTGGGCCCCATGCAGGAGGACTGGTGGTACCCCCTTATCCACAGCCCCCTGACTGTAATAACCAATCAGACAGAGAACCCCTCCCCCCAAAAAAGAGACAGAGTTACAAAATTCCACATTGATTAGCAACCGCCAGCTGGCTTGCAGTAAGGGACTGGGTCTGAGAGGAACACTGGAAGGAGCCGCAGCTCAGCTGCTACACTGATCCCAGACACCCAGCATCTTCCTCTCTCCTTTCCTTCTCCCCCTCTGCCACCCATCCCCTCAGCTGAAGGATCATTCATCACGTGGCAGCGTCCCACATGATCAATCAGCATTCGCTCCCCTCACCCTGACCATTGTCTGCCCCCCACCCTGGCTCACCTCTGATGGTTCCTGCCAGGGTGCGGAGTCCAGGCTGTGGCTCTCAGTGAGGACAAGCAGCCTCCCATCACTACACTGCTTCCCTCACATCGGCCCCGATCATTCTACTCACATAGGGTTAACCCTGCAACCAGAGCACACTCCCACCTATTGATTGGCTCCAGCTGTGTAGAAGAAGGCGGAGCCAGCGATGGACATGCCCCATTCGGTCACTAGCCGGTGTGTGTACCGGAGATGTACAGACCGATCCTCTGATCAGAGACTGCTCTGGGTCCTGGGGTAATGTCATCACTTCCCATCCTAGGGGGAGCCGACACTTCACTGCTACATGGAATACTGTTTTATATATATATATATATATATATATATATATATATATATACACACACACTAAATGGTGTTGAATGGCTGTGAGACAATTGTGCAGAGTATAGATACCTTCATTCCCTCATCATTCCCTGTGTATGGGGAGAGGGAAACTCTCTCAGAGAAATGAAGAATTCATACAAAAGGTATATAGGTCACACAGACAGTGTTGGCCTGTGCTGCGCCTAGGTAACCCTAGGTGGCAGTGCACCCTAGGCGGCTGCCTAGTTTGCCTAGTGGAAGCACCAGCCCTGGGGACAAGCTATTACCTATATGCTTCTAATAATGTTAGCAGCCTGGCTGTTATACTGACCTACTTGATTTAATACTCTAAATCAGGGTTTCTCAACCAGGGTTCCATGAAGCCATAGGGTTCCTCCGCAGGTTTCTAGGGGTTCCTTGAGCAATGAGAGATTCTGTTTCATAGGAGAGTATCCATTGACACCAATTATCTCTTTAGCTATCTTTAAAGGATAAGTTCACCTTTCAAAATATGTTACACCCATATTCAGGGTGTAACATTTAACATGTTATGAATGAACTGGCCCCAGCACCCTCTCTCCCCCTTCCCCCCCAATGCCCATCTTGACAACTCAGTCTCTACTTGGACCCCAGCTGTTCTCTTGCCTGCTGCCTGCCTCGACCTCTGCTTGTACATTGAATAATCTTGTGTTATAACATTTGCACTGATCTCTGCCTGGATACCAACCTGCTCCCTCATTCTGTTCTGTCTCCTCAGTTTAGCCACCTTGTTCACGTGACTCCCTGGTGAGGCAAACCCAAGGGCCACAGACTTGGTGTAAGTTTGCAGCAAAGTATCCCAAGGGTCACCACCCCATTGCTCCTTGCTGGGTGCTCTGGTGAAGTCCAAGCTGTTATTTAGACTTTTTAACCAGTAATAGGGTGCAGAGTGAGTCGGAATCATAGGCAAACTTCCAGTCACCTCCTCTCACAGTAGCGGTTATTGGAAGCCCAAACACATTAGCATTGCAGAGCTTCCTGGTTTTCTGTTTATAAGCATGCTGCAGATAGAACCCCTGGGAGCAACAAGTACGCCATGGAATCAATGGCGTGCCAGACACAAAGAAGGTAAAGGAGCTCAGAATGGAGGTAATCAATAAGGAGGCACATGGGTACCTATTTTATAAAATATCTACAAACCAAGGGGAACAAGAACTCTAAAACGTTCTTGGACTGTAAAGAATAGGTGAAAACAAGGAAGAAGCCACAGCGTATAATGAATGACCACATGCAGCCTTGTGCAGTGAGAATATTATTCTGACTAACCTCAAATGACTTCTGATTCTGCTCTAAATCTGTTCCCCTCATTAGTGGAATATTCCTGCCTTTTTTGTGGATGAATTACTCTACTCTATGGGGTTGAATTACTAAAGGCAAATAGACCGTGCACTTTGCAAAGTGCAGTTGCACTCTGGAAGGGCAGATGCTCCAGAGCTTAGTAAATGAGGTAAAGCTTCACTTTGCAAAGAATACCCAATCGCATGCAAGGAAAATAAAAAAACAGCATTTTTGCTTCCACATGATTGGATGATGGAAGTCAGCAGAACTTCTGCTTATTTACTAAGCTCTGGAGCAACTGCACTTGCAGAGTGCAAGTGCAGTTTGCAGAGTGCACCATTTGCCTTTAGTAAATCAACCCCAGTCTTTATTTACTAGTCTCCTATATCTACTTCTGTAGTACCTGAAGCACTTAAAAGTTGCAGGAAAAGGCAGAAGATGATCATTTTTCACTAGTTGAAATATCACCATGGAGAAGTTATAGTGAAGGGGAAGCACAGTCTTGATGTGTGTGATGATAGTAGTACAGGACTTTGTGACAAGGGATTGTAGGACCAAACAAAATCATGCTGCCTCAGAAGTGCCAAAATACATTTTGTAGTTAAATATACTAAGAATAATGATAAAAAACAAAGGTTGTACTCTGGAAGCTCTAAACCAAGAGTCTCCAAACTGCAGCCCCTGGCTTGGATGTGGCCTTTACTTGCCTTTTTCCATCCCTTGGGGCCGATACAAGGCACCATTCCTCCCACTGACACAAAAGAAAGGGCACTATTCCTACCATTGACACCAACAATCGGGCATTATTCCTCCAACTGACACTAGAGATGGGGAACCAATTCTCCCATTGAGACCAATTATGGGGCTTTATTCCTCTCACTGACCACCAATGATGTCATTTTTTTTACTCCCACTGACCACCAATGATGTAATTTTTTTACTCCCACTGACCACCAATGATGTCATTTTTTTACTCCCACTGACCACGAAGCTTATGGCACCATTTCCTTCTACCAATGCCAGGCAAATTTCTACCCCCACTGGCTACAGTCTTCCCCCCTCCCCTTAACGTTTGAAGGGCAGTAAACTGACCCTTTGTTTCAAACGTTTGGAGATCGCTGCTCTAAACCATAAGAAAAAAAGCCGATTAATAAAAAAAAATAATTTTCATCCCATAGGGAGAGGGATGTTGTGAAATGGATGAGAAGTTCTGGCTATATTTTGCTACAGCAGAAAGCATCATGTGGCCTGCACGTTTGTGCAACAAGGAAGCTGAGTAAAGTTGGCACAATACATTTTTATTAAAAGTCAACTTAAAAAAAACCTTACAGATGCTGGTGTGATTATGGTACCAAAGTATCTATCAGACAGTGGCACACCCTGCTTTTAAAGCCCAACTCTGACAATTCTCCCTTGCAGTAGGGCTGTGCCCATACCCAGTGGTGGGTGATCATGGGGCCCCATAAAGCCTACCTTACAGGATCCCATGCAGTGAATGTATTTAGTATTCTATGTCAAGGGGCGCCAGAGAGGGTATTCTGTAGATTCCTTACGTATGCAAGCATCGCATAGCCATGCTGACACTGCCAAAAGCAAACACTCTGGGGTTGATTTACTAAAGGCACTAGACTGTACACTTTGCAAGTGCAGCTGCTCCAAAGTTTAGTAAATGAGGGGAAGCTCTGCTGGCTTCCATCATCCAATCATATGCAAGCAAAAATGCTTTTTTTTTAATTTTCCTTGCAAGTGACTGGGTATTCTTTGCAAAGTGAAGCTCACTTGATTTAAAAAGCTCTGCAGCAACTGCATTTGCAAAGTGCACAGTCTATTTGCCTTTAGAAAATCAACCCCCTCTGTCCCCCTGAAGCAGAGGTGTTAATTTACTGTGTAGAAACTGATTCATTGGTATCTGTAGTGTCCACAAGCAAATTCATTTGCATAGTTTAGCAGTTGTTCACTTTTCAGCAATTCAGCAACCCCCAAAATGTCCACGTAAAAGCTGCAAATAGCCATGGGTTAAATGAATAGATCAACAATGTGAGCATGCATATTGGGTTTCTAAAAATCGCTGACCACAGACTCTGGTTAAATATCCCAGGTGCTTCCACTTGTCTGCACTAGAGGTACTGACTAGGTAGCTCACCCCCATTGTGGTATTTGGAAAGCTTTTGTTGCAATGTAAGGTAACTTACTGGATATGGATTGGGAGAACATTATTTTCAACTATGAGAAGCTAATGGTGTATTTATTATTAGAGATGTTATAGACTAACCTTTGTCTATTATCCTGCGGGAGCTAAACTGTGAGACACGTTGAGGATGGACTAATCCACTCTTCAGCAAGTAAGCTGATGACTGGAATTCTGTAAAGGCTGAAACTGGGCCTAAAAAATGCTGTAATATCTAGTAAGGGTATTAGCCACGTAGAGAAAGTATTGGGCACAATGTCTGCTTAAACATACATGTTGTTAAAATTCCTATTGTGGGTAGTGAATTTTAAGATATTAATTTGGATTGTTTTAAGTAATATTTATTTTTTAAAAATTGTGTTTTTTTATCAGTATGTTAAGATTAACAATTATTACTTCAAAACTCCTTGTATGTAGTGTGGGGTTAGCTCAGGTGGGGGATCTCCTTCCCTGGGACAAAGGTAGACCGCACAGCAGGCTTTCATCAAAATCTGACTGGTTGTCAGCTTTATTTAAAAGGTTTGCAGAAAATAAACAAAACATGAAAATAAACCCTCGCCATCCAGGCACTAACTAAACAAAAGGCATTTCCTCTCTCAGAGGTGAAGGGCTTCTCCCTGTCACCGAAATAAAACAAAAGCAAACCTTTTCTTGTAGGTATCGTACACACACAGCTCTCTCAGAACACCTCTCTGAGTCCCAGGCCACGAGCAACTCCTTGCTCCAGCCCTGCCTTATTTATACCACCTGTTGGTGGTCATCAGTGGAGCCCCAACTCTGGTCCGGACCCACCTGCTTAACTGTGGCCCCGAAAACCCGGAGTGGACTCCACCTAAACGGTCAGGTATGAGCATATGCGAGGTGACACATAGCGTCCCTCTATCACCTCGCCGTTCATCCTGTCACAGTAGTTACACAGTCTAAGTACTACAGAAATATTAATGGGATGCGTTGCCACAAGCCATCTGGCAGCCCCACATATTATTGTTATCGCTCTAAAAAAAATGCACAATTTAACAACTAAAAGTATTATGCTGAATCAGCCTTCAATCCAACTTCTAAAATATAATTTTTTTTTATTCTGAAAATCCAGTAGAAATGAAAAGTAGAAAAAAAAAAGCACTTGAAAGTCTAACAAATTTTGGGGCAAAAATGCTTCATGGTTTGGCTAAGGCTAGGTTCACACTTGCTTGCAGGCTGGTTCCGGGTGCAGGAATGGCACCTGTTTCTGCACCCAAAACCACCTGCAGCCATTCTGAATTGCACCCACATGCATCTGAGCTCGCAGCACATTTGCAGGTACGGGAACCGCAGGAAAACGGCATGGTCAAAGCATTTTTCAAATCTGCAAGCACCTTTTTTGTGGGACATGTGGGCACAGCAGACCATTCAGATGAATGGTCTGTCGTGCCCGAGCAAATGCTGGCCTTGTGGCCCGCAGTAGTGTGAACCTAGGGTGAGGGAATTTTAAGAGTGTGTCCTTTGCATATATACTTTGCACTAGAAGATGTCCCTCTTTATCATCTTAGAAAGTTGGGAGGTTTGCTTTACATAATAAAGTTTTTTTTTTTTATACAGAGCCCTGCATCAGAAAGGATGGGCAAATGTGAAAGTAAGAGTGAGGGATTTAGATCCAAAGTAAGGCCTGGTTGAGAGCTTTGTCTACGACTGTATAAAACAGCTGAATATACACAGAGTGATATCAGGAGTAGACAGGACCTGTTTAGTGTGCCTGTACATGTATACTGTATATAAGTATCTAAATGAAAGCATTGCAGTATATTTCATTCATCAATTACCAATGGAATATGACATATGATTAATGCCGGCTGTAGATCAATATCCTACCAAGGAAGGGTCAGGCTACCACTCACCACTTCAACTGTAATGACGATAAAACCACAGAGACAGAGGAGGCTGCCATCGCTGCTGATCCCATCCATGGCTGTAGCACCAACCCCAGAGGCAAGAAGGCACCTTCAAAGAGATGATATAATATATAAGAAATATTTCTCATTGCATTTAGACCCCTGGTGCCAAACCTGTGGGCTGCATGCCTCCATTTGGTATTTTTTGTATTGTCCCTGGGGTCTCTACAGAAAGTAGTATGTGTTTGTCTATTCCACTGATCCCTGGAAGTCTCATGTAATAAGTCTCCAGTCTTCAAATATCTATTGAAGCATGTGTCTGATCTTTAGCAACTCCTAAAGCATGATTAAAGGATCAAGGATTAAGTTCACCGGTTGCACAAAAATAATAAATACACATTATTTTGCAGATAAGAAAAATGTGCATTTATTATTTTTGTCTGCAGGAGCCAGTAAAGCATTGTAGCAGCGATCTGCTGGTAGTTCCTTGAGAACTACAAGCCGACAGCCACTAAGGCTATTGGGACTTGCAGTTCATTCATTCTCAGAACTTTGTGAATGAATGAGGAGGCCATATGGGTGGAGCCACGCACAGCCGCACGGTTTTCAAATCTGACAGCTAGTGGGGGAACTTCTCCCATACTTCTGTCAGGAGGGGGGGGGCAGTGGGCGGCGGCTGCAGCATTGGGAACATGTTAAATGTTCCACCCTAAAAAAACAGGTGGAACGTGTAACATGTTCCCGAAGGTGAACTTATCCTTTAAGTCTTTGATCATCTGTTATAGTAGTCTTTAATAATCTACTGTTGCATGTCAGCAGCCTGACAGCTTTCAGCAGCATTACATTCACTTAGCATTATGTATGGCCCTCTGATGAAGAGAGTTGACCACCAATGTTTTAGACACTTGTGCACTTCCAGCCTTGTGGCAACAGTTTGGGGAAGCCCCTTTTCTGCTCCCGCATGACTTTACACCTGTGCACAAAGCCAGGTCCATAAAGGTCTATGTGTGCATGAGGTCTGTACAGAGCCCTGACCTCAATGCAACCAAACACCTATAAACTGGAAAATCAATTATGAGCCACTTCTCATCCAGCATCACTGCCTGATGTTGCATATCCGCTTTTGGCTGAATGGGCATCAATTTCCATAGACACACGCCAAAATCTTGTGAAAAGCCCTCCCAGAAGAGAAGGGGGACACCTCAGTTTTAAATGTCCATACTTTTGGAATGGGATATCCAACAAGCATTTAGTATATAATTGAGACAGGCAGGTGTCCACAAACATTTAGCCACATAGTGTAGAATTCGTTTTTCTTGTTTGGAGCACTTCTATAATATCTAGTCATCAGTCTACATTCATGGAAACAAGTATTTTATAAGTGATTAATATTAAGTAGTTATATATCCATACCTGCCGCAATGGGAATGCCAAGAAGATTGTATATCAGGGCAAACATGAAGTTAACCCTTATTCTTCTCACTGTCCTCTTTGAGAGATGAATGCTTGCAACCACATCAAGTAAATCATTCTGTAATATACAGTGAGCACATACGAGTTATTACCAATATCTATAACTTATTCTGTGTGACTCAAATAGTATTTTTTTTATCTTAATCTAATCTTAACTTTTATTATCATAAACTAACACACTATTAAGTTTTTGTACTATAAAACTAGAGTTTATTATTATTTTCTGGCGTATAAGACTACTTTTTATACTTAAAAATATACCCCAAAAATTGGGGGTCGTCTTATACGCAGGGTATAAAATGTGAACCTTGAGTTTGTTTGGGTCAAGCTGGCTGGATGTGTGGTAATACTGTACATACAGTATACCGTGCTGAGCCAAGCTGGCTCAAAACAAATGTCCCTATGATAGATTAATCTGTCAGCCCGCTGGATGTGCGGTATATGCAGTATACTACGCTGAGCTAAGCGGTTTCAAAACATACCAGTGTGTCCCTACTGTAATCAGCCCGCTGGATGCGTGTATGTATGGTAGCTGCGACTACATACAGTATACACTGGGCCAATCACGGCGAGTGATGTATTCTACTAATGAATACAAAGCCTGCTTGGATTGGCTGAGTCAGAGAGGTGGGCTGATGATGTCACAACCTCAGCCAATCCGAGCAGGCTTTGTATTCATTAGTAGAATACATCGCTCGCCATGATTGGCCCAGTGTATACTGTATGTAGCCGCAGCTACCGTACATACACGCATCCAGCGGTCTGATTACAGTAGGGACGTACCGGTACATTTTGAAACAGCTTGGCTCAGTATACTGTATATACCTCAGTGATATATACTCAGTATACTGTATATACCACACATCCAGTGGGCTGACAGATTAAACTGTCATAGGGACATTTGTTTTGAGCCAGCTTGGCTCAGCGCGGTATACTGTATGTACATTACTGCACATCCAGCGGGCTGTATATATATACTGTATGTAGCCGCAGCTACCGTATTACTGCACATCCAGCAGTAACCATCTGATTTGGAATTTGATCCATATGATGACTGTCTTACAAATGTATCACAAGATGTCATTCATGAACTTATGATGTCAGAGGATGAACATGAGGATTTTGAAGGATTTTAAGTACCGGTAAATCATAACCATTTCAATGAAAAAATCTGATGTTTTTAAATGGTGTTGCCTTGGAAGGGGGGTAGTCTTATACGGCGAGTATAGCCCAAAACCTATGTTTTAACTGGAAAATTAGGGGGTCGTCTTCTACACCCAGTCGCCTTATACACCGGAAAATACGGTAATTATTATTATAATGCAAGTATTATACAGGATTTATATATAGCACCAACCGTTTGCACAGAGATACATATGAACATATCTGTTCTAATAAACAAAAAATAACTTAAAAATTCTGCGCTATAGTATGTGTGTAACTCCCAAACATAAAAGTATCAATAGAACATAAGCTGCTACCTCAATATTGCAACAATGCATCAAACAATAAAACATAAAAGTGCGGTGCTACATATAACCAAAAAGTTAGTGAAAATACATGGAATAAATGGAAAGTCCAATTCACATGCGAAGGAAATATAACGTGAAATAAGCCCCTTTTTTAATGGGACATCAATGTTGCCATGAATGCTTCAAATCTGGTCAAGAAGATGAAAAAAATCCACCATCACCAACACCCAAAAAATTAATTTGATGTCTCAAGTGTTCAGGTCCATGGCATGAGTCTGAAATTTGCATTGAGCATTTTGACCCATCCTTAATTGGGGGTCAATTTGATCTGGTAAGAGGCAGAATTTTGTGGGTGTTGGTGATGGTGGATTTTCTTCATCTTCTTGACCAGATTTGAAGCATTCGTGGCAACACTGATGTCCCATTCAAAAAGGGGCTTATTTCACATTATATTTTCTTCGCATGTAATTTGACTTTCCATTTATTCCATGTATTTTCACTAACCTTTTGGTTATATGTAGCGCCACACTTTTATCTTTTATAACTGTTCTAATATCTATGTTAAAAAAAGCTCTAAATCTATGATGGCTTTCAGGACAGTGAAGCAGAACCTGTCAGACCGTTCTATTCTACAGTATGCTATAGATAAAGAGCTTGCTCAACAAGATAAAGTAGAAATAAAGCCTTTTTTCACCCTCTATTGTATCTCAGTGCTGCTGATCTCCTCTAGCCTCTTTCTGCCACTTCCTGCCTACATGCACTTTCTCTATTATCAGCTGCATATCATTTCTCTGGATCAGTGGACCATGCAATGGCAATATTTGGCAGCATGGCCATTTGTAGTCTCTATAAGGGGTGTTTGAGACAGTGCGACAAAGTAGGTGCTTTACTTGGAGGCAGTTGTCACCCAATATCAGAAAGTGCCTGAGAGACCTTAATAGCAGGATCTACAGATATTCTTTTACTGCACATTTAAAACTTCTTTTGAAATGACAATAACATGATTAATACATTAGTATGATGCATTATGATATTTTAGCTTTTATGTTGTGCTTTAAAGCTGTAGAAAACTCTGTATCTTAACATGTACCTACAGGTAAGCTTACAGTCATGCTTACCTGTAGGTACAATGAAAATCTCTATATAAAACCTTCCCTTTAGAGAAGCCTATTCTGCCGCCACCTAGCAACTGTTCTTTTATTTCCTCCATCAGCTCATCCCCCACAGTTAATATATATATAAATCCTGTGTAATAATGATCTCCTATACAGTTAGGTCCATACATATTTGAACACAGGCACAATTTTCATACTTTTGGCTCTGTATGCCACCAGAATAAATTAAAACGAAACAATCCAAATAAATTTGAAGTGCAGACTTTCAGTTTTAATTCAGGGGTTGAACAAATATCAAGTACAAATTTTAGGAACTGCAACTATTTTTATACACAGTCCGTCCATTTTCAGGGGCTCAAATGTAATTGGACAAATGAATATAATCATAAATAAAATGTTCATTTTTAATATTTTGTTGAGAATCCTTTACTGGCAATGACTGCCTGAAGTCTGGAACCCATGGACATTACCAAAGACAGGGTTTCCTCCTTTCTGATGCTTGGCCAGGCTCTAACTGCAGCTGTCTTCAGTTGTTCTTTGTTTGTGGGTCTTTCTGCCTTTAGTTTGCAAATGAAATGCATGCTCAATTGAGTTGAGATCAGGCGATTGACTCAGTCATTGCAGAATATTCAACTTCTTTTCCTTCAAAAGCTCATGGGTTGCTTTTGCAGTGTGTTTTGGATCATGGTCCATCTGTGAAGCGCCATCCAATCAACTTTGCTGCATTTGGCTGAATCTGGGCTGACAGTATATCTCTAAACACTGCAGATTTCATCCGGCTGCTTCTGTCTTCTGTCACATCATCAATAAACACCAATGACCCAGTGCCACTGGAAGCTATGCATGCCCATGCCATCACACTGCCTCCACCATGTTTTACAGATGATGTTGTGTGCTTTGTATCATGAGCTGTTCCAAGCCTTCTCCACACTTTTTTCTTCCCGTCATTCTAGTATAGATTATTCTTAGTTTCATCCATCCAAAGAATGCTTTTCCAGAACTGGTCTGGCTTTTTTATATGTTTTTTGACAAAGTCTAATCTGGCTTTTCTATTCTTAGGGCATATGAATGGTTTGCACCTTGTGGTGAACCCTCTGTATTTGCTTTTGTGAAGTCTTCTCTTGATTGTAGACTTTGGCAATGATACACCCACCTCCTGGAGAGTGTCCTTCACTTGTCTGGATGTTGTGAATGGGTTTTTCTTTACCATAGAGAGGATCCTGCAATCATCCACCACTGTTTTCTTCCGTGGACGTCCATGCCTTTTTATGTTGCTGAGCTCACCAGTGCGTTCTTCCTTCCTCAGAATATGTTGATTTGGCCACTCCTAATGTTGCTGCTATCTCCCTGATGGATTTGTTTTGTTTTTGAAGCTTACCATGGCCTGTTTCACTTGCATGAACAGCTCCTTTGAACGCATGATGTAGGTTCACAGCAATAGCTTCCAAATGCAAATACCACACTTAGAATCAACTCCAGACCTTTTACCTGCTTAATTGATGAAGAAATAACGAAGGAGTAGCCCATACATGGTCATGAAACAGCTTTTGATTCAATTGTCCAATTACTTTTGGTCCCTTGAAAAAGGGGGGATAGCTATTCTTAAGAGCTGTAATTCCTAAACCCTTCCTTCAATTTGGATGTACATACCCTCAAATTAAACCTGAGAGTGTGCACTTTCAGCCCATATCCATTATATAACTAACCGCAAGCCTGGAAGGAACACCAGGTGAAAATGGAAGCACTGTAAACGATGATCGTGCGCCACTGCAGGGCTTTGTTTGAAAGGTAAGTATGTCATAATGTGCTAGTACGCAGTGCATACCAGAACATTATAGCATAAGTTTACAGGGGACCCACTTCTTTTTTTTATGGCCGGTTTACTACTGCTTTAATAGTCTTATCGCCATACTTACTTTTTGTTTTGCTTTCCCATTGCAGGAGCAATGTTCAGAAATCACTTTGTAAGCTCTAAATTGGTCTGGTCAGAGCTTACACAGAGCTAAGGACTTTCCCCACGCCCCTGTCTGACAGTGCTTAGGCCTAATTATTGACTACCCAGACAGCTGACACTGTACTGTGGGAGAAAGTGGACAGAGTCACACCCTCCTCCCTACCCAAAAGCATTAGGTAATTCAATTCTCTCCAGTGAGTGAATGGAATGGCAGGGAAGTAAATGCAGCAATGTGGGGGATATTATGCAACAAAGCAAATATGTTACTTTACCAAAAATGAGCAATGCATGGGTCTACTTTAAAGCAAAACTGTTGCTGGATATGCAGTAAAATACTAACAGATACTTTAGCAAGTACCTGTGCAGATTATGGACCCATCCATGATGCATATAATCATTGCTCTATGTATGTGCATGTCTGATCACTAGCATGTTGTGCCTGTTGATGCATTTTATCTTTGTTCTTGCCACATCTCTCTATTCAATTACTCTGTTACTCCAGTATGAACTTACTGGCATGAATAGTACTGGTCATCTATTGTGATTTTACCATTAGTAATCCATTCTTTGACCGATTTTGAATTGGATTCTTCTAAAGAGGATCACAGATGAACAGCAGTAGAGGGTGGCCCCTCCTTTATCTTGACTATCTAGGCATTCATGTGGGTACCACTGTAGCCTCTCCCTCAATTGCCTGTTTTCCTGATTCATATGCTGTGTAACCAGCCTAATAACTGGATATGACAATATACTCAAAATTAGACAGAAACATACTCTGATGAGAACAATATCTGCAGCTTCGATGGCCACATCAGTTCCAGTGCCAATGGCGATACCAATGTCAGCTCTTGCCAATGCTGGGGAGTCATTGACACCATCACCCACCATGGCAACTCTCTTCCCCTCATTTTGCAGTGCCTGGACTTTGGCTACCTTGTGAGAGGGAAGAACCTCTGCAAACACCTTCTGAATCCCAACCTGCAAAAAAGCACAAGTGATTTAAGCTCTAAGGAGTTTAACAGTAACTCCATGCACATTACGTCCATTAGATTGAGTCATCTATGTAACAGCTGTCAATACCTGGGTTGCAATAGCTTTGGCAGTCTTCCTGTTGTCACCAGTTATCAGTACAACATCCACCCCCATAGCCTTTAAAGTGTGCACAGCAAGGGCGGCCTCCTGCTTTACAGTATCTGCGATCGCAATCATTCCGCACAATGCACCTATATAACGAAGAAAAAGATTGCTATATAGAATTTATTTAATTTTTTGATAATTATCTGATAAATGATGACCATGAGGTAAATTCACAATCATATTCATTGATAAATATACAAAGCCCTGAATGTCGGATAAGCCATTAAAGCATGTGCCAATGTTTAATAAAACAAAAAAAACAAACAAACTTGAAGCTAACATTGATTTCATGTACAATAAAAATGCCTTATGTGAAATGTGTTCTCATTGTAAGAATATATAAAGCATTATGCTTTACATCTACCATCCTTTATAGTCAATATCAGATGGAAGAGGTTATAAAATTGTGTATTACATTACCATCTATAGCAACCAACACTGCGGTCTGTCCTTTCATCTCATGGCTAGTCATAGCATCATCTACATCATGAGAAATACAAAGTCCATTGCGTTTCATCCATTCCCGGTTCCCAATTAATACAGAGTGAGGTTCTGGGGCGCTTGCACCTGCAGTTCACAGGAAAAAAGAGTAATAAAGCCTACCTGGTCTTTATGTATAGGATGTCCAATTATGACTAGTGGCCATTATTTTAGCAGGTAGCTTGACATCCAAGTTTAAAAGGGAGATATCCCTGTGCCAGTTTTAATTTTTTCCCGTACAAATGCTATTTCTATAAGTGGATTTACAAACATACCTTGTAATTCAGGTGAAATTATCAAACTGCTACCATCCTGTGAACAGCCGAGTCCACTTTTGTAAATGTTGTGCTCATTCAGATCCCCTTCACTCTGCACCAGGACACTTTCCACATTGTTCACTTTACAACTGATCCCACAGCCTGGAACAGCCTGAAAGTCTGAACAATAACCCAAAGTTTCTGTGCCAAGCTCCTAGAAAAATACAATTATGAAGACTCTCGATAAAGAAACCTATAATTCCTAAAATTTCCCTACCTTATTGTCTATCAGTATTACGAAGGCAGTTTTACCACTCTGAACAGCATAGATTAGAGGTGATTTTTTTCAGTACCATAATCAGCTATGGAAAATAAATGAAAAAAAATTGATTTGAACTTAACTAGCAACAGTCATTTTTCTAATGCTGACTTAAAACCATGCAGTTGTTTATCACAACCTCTACTAAGTCTGATTACCACTGTATGATTAAAACTTACCATCTATGCATTCCTATAACCCCAATTCCAAAACAGTTGGGACACTATGTAAAATCTACATAAAAACAGAATGCAATAATCTGCAATGCTCATAAACCCGTATTTTATTCACAATAGAAAATAGAAAACATATCAAATGTTTAAACTGAGAAAATGTTTAATTTTAATAAAAAATAAGGTAATTTTAAAATTGATGGCAGTAACACGTCTCAAAAAAGTTGGGAGAGGGTAACAAAGAGCTGCCAAAGTAAGTGGTACTAACAAGGAAGAGCTGGAAGAACATTTTGCAACTAATTAGGTTTACTGGCACAGGCCAGTAACATGACTGGGTATAAAAATGACATCTTAGGGAGTCAGAGTGCCTCAGAAGTAAAGATGGGCAGAGGTTCACAAATCTGTGAAATCTGCATCTAAATTTTCAAACAACTTCTGAATAATGTTCCTAAACATGAAATTTTAAAGACTTTAAATGTATCATCATCTACAATACATAATATCATCAAAATATTCCAAGAATCTAGAGACAGGTAATAGACATCACTGCATGGGCTCAGAAATACTTCCAAAAATCACTGTCTGAATATAGTTCACTGTGCAATCCAAAAACGCAATTCAAAGCTCTATCATGTTCATATTTGAACATGATAAAGAAACACCTCTGTCTCTCGTGGCCAAAGCTCGATTAAAAAGGTCTGTTGCAAAATAGAATTTAAATTTGACATTCTTTTTGGCAACCATGGGCCCTGCTTCCCCTGGACTAAAGAGGAGAGAAACCAAAAGTCTGCATCCCTGATGGTATGGGGGTGCATTAGTGCAGATGAAATGGGCAGCTTGCACATTTGGAAAGGCACCATCAATGCTGAAAGACATATCCAGGTTTTAGAGCAGCATATGTTCAGGCAAGAATGGGACAACATTCCTCTCCCAAAACTTTGACAGATATTCACATAGTATTGTTAAAAGAAGAGGTGATGCTACACTATAATAAACATGACCCTATGCCAGTGTTTTTGTAACTGGGGTTATAGATTGTCAGTTTTTTGTTGCCCTGTCCCAACTTTTTTGAGACGTGTTGCTGCCTTCAATTTCAAAATTACCTTATTTTCCTTAAAATTGTAAATTTTTTCAGTTGGTACATTTTCTATTTTCAAATGTAAATAAAATATGAGTTTTTGAGAGATTTTCAAACCATTGAATTCTGTATTATGCAGATTTCACACAGCTTTCCAACTTTTTTGGAATTGGGGTTGTACTAGAAAAACAATGTTTGTTCAGAATGTTAATTTTTTTTTTTGCTTCTGGTGGCACAAATTGATATTCTCTCTGTAGAACCTGGTAGCCATTACTTGAGTGAGCAAGTACTTCCACAAGGAGTACTGCGCAAAAATGCTTTGCTAAGGACGCATAGAGAGGAAAGTTCACTACCACCATTCTTACAGAACACACTTGTGGAAATATGTCATCCTAAAGTTGCCATTGCTGATCTTCTGGAAATGCTAGTTCATTGACTTTCTGAGTCATTGATCCAGAAAAATGTATTCAGGTCAGGAGTCTTGACATCTCTTGGATATTACTGGCTGTTTGTTCCAGAAAGTGTCTCAGAAAGTGTTTTGAATCAAGAAAGGAGATATCATTTTCAGAAGGAGGTTAGCAATGGCAGCAACCATGTTTCTTTCATGATAGGCTTCCTTCTCATAGTGATGCAAATCTAGCTTAATCCAGTAACATTTCTGCTAGTGAGCAATAGTCTTCCCTTCATATAATAATTTGTGTAAAACCAAATCTTAGTACCTCTTTGCAGTATTTCACAACAGCCATTCCCAGAGGATGTTCACTGCTGGCCTCTGCTGTCCCCACCACTGCAAGCATTCTTTTCAGAGGGATCCGCGACGTATCACCAAGCAGCAGCACCCTCATAACCTTGGGTACGCCATGTGTTATTGTGCCTGTCTTGTCAAACATCACTGTGTTTATCTGTAACAAAAACATAATAACACTTTTCAAGTTGGTGTGGCTTCATGATGTTGCTCATTTTTGACATTGTGCATTGTCTGTAGCCAGCTTACAAAAGGCATTAGTCTCAATTCACAAAGCTAACACAACAGGGTAAGGTCACAGTTATTTTCAGCTGAGTACAATGAGATTTGAGAGCCTTTTTCTATAAATGTGTGTGAAATGACATCTGTTTTTGTTGCTCAGATCAAACCAATTAAATGTTGTTAATCTTACAATGCAGACTTGAAAATGTAATTGGATATCTGATTGGTTGGTAGATGTAAAATAAACAGTTCTTATTTCAGATGCTGACACATGTTTTATCTAATGGCAAGATAAATAAATGTACTGAATATGTACATCTGACTTAAGATGCCACATTCGACAATATGTTGCTGCCCAGTACTTGTGTTGGGTGGCTGGGTCTATCTTTCAGTGCAGTGGTTCACAACCTTAGACAGATCAGGGCCCTGTAAATTCTTTCAAAACCATTCCATCCTCCAACAGCACCACAATTAACAGGCTGATCTCAGTTGATCTGTTGCTAATCCCCATTCTAAACCTTACCTACTCTGTATAGTTGTACCCCAAAGCAGTCAAATTTCTGTTTAATGATTCCCCAGCAATCAGAATGAATCCACAGCAATCAGAATGAATACACAATTGGAAGAAGTAGTTTCAAACTGCAGCAACAGTTACTGTAAAGTCTAGATGTCACGGCAGACAGGAAATCAGGGTCTTGCAGGGGAGGAAGGCTGTGGCCCAGCACCATTGTTCTAGTGGATATGTTGCAGCCTGTTAAAGTGTATCTAAAGCTAAAGCCAAGACTTCTTTTTTTTGTTTTGCACAGTGAGACATTAGAAACTTTGCTAGATTTTTATTGCTACCCTCCCTATTTGGGTTGGTGATCATGTCACTGGAACTATAAGTCAAGCAAAAGCCAAAAATTGGAGTTATCACAAGAACAGGAATTGAGGGGTAAGCTTACAGTGGGGATACCTGTTCCCATGACGACTGACTAAAAGTGTATTTCCCTTAATTTGTAGAAATGTTCTTTTCTTCCTGTTGTCTATAAAACAGAATGTAAAGGAGAAACTCCCCATGGTACTCAGAAGGCAAAAAGAAACCTGGCAGGGGTTTTAACTCTATCCAAAATTAAAATATGTTGCCTTTAAATATGCTTTAATCTATAAATTATTTATTTATGACATACAGATCTTATTGCATATATCTTTAGGCTTTAAAATGCAAAGTAAGCATGTCCTAACCAATTAACAATTCTATAGAAAGCTCAAGTGTGGTAGAAACCAACCTTGTGTGCCATTTCTAGCGGTCCTCCACCTTTGATGAGGATGCCATTTTGTGCCGCTAGTCCAGTACCCACCATCACCGCAGTGGGTGTGGCCAGACCCAGGGCACAAGGGCAGGCAATAGACAGCACAGTGATGGAAGTCTGAAACGCCACCCGGATGATCACTTCTGCTTTAGATATTATTTTGCTGTAACCCTAAAAGTAGATGCAAAGAAAAACATTACCATAAAAACAGAAACATTAAATTCTATAGAAACGGATTAGTTCTTGATGTTGGTATTTTTAAAGTAGAACGCTAGAAAAAAGTACTTTTTTTATTGTGAATGATTCAGAGACGTTATGTCCAATCCTTTACCAAACATATCTAGAGAGTGGCTGAGGATGCTGAAAATTTTATTTTTATACCAGAAATCGACTATGAGATGTTAGTGAGTGTACGGTGAAGAAGAGAGACTGACAACCTCAGTTCTGTTCCTGTGTACTGTGCAAAGCGGGGGGGTCTCTTCCCTCTAATTAGCTCTCAGAGCTCCCCTCACTGAGCTCTGCAGTGTACTATTTCAGTTCTCTGTCCCCTTTTTTCTACCAGCTCAGACAAGCTTTATAAATGATGAACTTTAAATTAATGTAGAGAGGAGAAGACTGCAGATAAACAGATACAACTTATGTAAGGGAATTTGTTTCATCTCTGTATATTGCCTGAAGCCAGTCACTTCATTGGGTATATGTAAGAGTTTATAACTACTTTAAAGTAAGCGTTAAGTGCGAGTGCCATGTTACAGTGGAATTTAAGTCAAAAAGTAAGGATTTGCTGTGTTATAGGGATCATCTAGAAATGTTAATTGTGCCTAAATAGTACACAGAAAAATGTATTTTATGTCTTGAATGTCTCCTAAAACACATAGTGGACTTTTTGGTATATGAGTGTCTACAGCCTACAGTCTTCTAGCTGGTTTTCCACTTTTTCTTCAAGGCATACTCGAACACTTTGTTGGAGCACGGAAATGTATTTTTATGTGGCTGGAGCTGTGTGCAGGTAGCCAATGTTACACTATGGGGATGCAGCAACTATACAAACACAGCCGCAGGTCCTGTGGATGCACGTGTACAGCTCCAAACAAAGACAGTATGCATTCTGGACCACTCACCCACACCTGTCAAACTAGGACATGTGGCTGTGCGTCCCCAGGCATACCCCATGCGCATGCCTGTGTGTCTGGGTTTCAGGCGGTCTGAAACCCCCGCACATGATTCAAAACCTGGTGAATCCCAGACAAGTGGCAACCTTACTTCTAACTGAATTTCTAAGATCTAAGACACTGTCACCCCTGATTGCGAGTAAGGTCAGTGAGAGAAAGTGCAAAACAAGGCATGATAAGGTAGTAACGGGGAAAGATCAGGTGCAGAGAGACCACAGTGGACTAGAGTGACTAGACCTTTGTCCTCTTTTTGCCTTTTTTTTGCACAGTTCATTAACTCTTTAAGTGCTAAGGGTTATGTGTTAAAGAAAAAGTTATGGGATTAGTGTCAAGTGGTTCACAGATAGGACACTTTTTCTTGGATTTAGGTTAGGTTAGTATTAAAGGTTCAGACAAAGGGGAGATTTAGGTTTAGGGGGTGCTTTAGTATTAAGGGCAATTCACAACATAGCCCTAGTCCGCGGAGCTGCTGAATGTTCATTTGATCTTGGCACAGAACTTTCAACTCCAAAAAATAGCTGTTGGCACCAAGACCTAATGTACTAATTAAATTACACAATGGCCTTATGTGAAAGACAACAATTAATTAAACACTACTAGTGCTGCACATAGCACATAGCATACGTCAATCGCTTCATTTTGTATCCTACATTAGAAAACGATTGCTACTACAGGTGAAAACCCATTGTTTTGTCTCCCAGATCAATCTTTTAACCTCCCTAGCGGTCTGATTATGTCAGTATGTCTGTGCTCAAAGCGGTAATTTTTTTGATGGAAATATGTTGTTTCTTTATTGTAGGCGTGTAATTCTTAGGAATAACTCACTGAAATCAGTCCGAACAAGAGTCTAGTAAACATCTCGGATTAGATAAACTTTGAAACACAAAAATATAAATTATAATATAATAAATAATCATAAAAAAATAATAAATTAATAATAATAAATTTAATTCAATAATGTAATCAAACCAAAAACACTGAAATTTGAAATAGAGCGCCAAGTACGCACTTCGCTGAGCTCAGTTGCAAAATCGTTTTCAGTGTCTGATGACGAATTTCCCCACGAATCATTATCATTCAATTCTGCAAGTGGTTCTAATTTACTATCGCTGTTCTCTAGCTGGTCTAAAATCGCTTTTGACCTAAAGGGACGCTTTTTGGACTCCATGGACGTTTCTCAGTTTCCAGGCAGAAAGAACAGTAAAAATGCAGGCAGGGCACAGGACAAAGCACCAGGGACAAAATGTATGTGAAATGGTTTGATACAGTAATGTAATACTATCAAATTTTAGTGTATTGAGTGAATGTCACATTTTAAAATGTTTGAATTTCCTGCTGGTTCTGTCCCCCGTACGTCCCGACACTCGCAGGGAATGGAACCCAGAAGACGGATGCCAGCATCGGCCGGAGGAGATGGCCGGGGACGCTGCAGGGGGGACATCGCGGGAGCGCAGGACAAGGTAAGTGCAAAAGGGAATCCCTAAGCAACGCTGCAGGGTAATCCCGAGTGTAGCTCGGGGTTACCGCTTTTGGTACTGAAAGTTATCCCCGAGCTACACTCAGGAATACCACCAGGGGGGTTCATTGAAAATTTGTCAAGTACTGTGTGATGAAATGTTTTTGTGGAAAAGTAAAAGTAAAATTAGAAGGTAATGGTAACAAATACCATACATGCACTGACCAATCGAATTAATGGGGGAGATTCACTAAAACTGATGCACACTGAATCTGGTGCAGCTGTACATAATAACCAATCAGCTTCTAACTTTAGCTTGTTCAGTTCAGCTTTGACAATAAAACCCAGAAGCTGATTGGTTACTATGCAGAGCTGCACCAGATTCTGTGTGCTCCAGTGTTAGTAAATCACACCCAAAAAGTCCTTGTGGCTAACATGTGTAAGATGGCCTCAGTCTTGTACCATCCACAAGCCACACCCCCTGGCATGTTTCATCCCACCCACTGGGTGGGTCAAAACATGTCAGAGGATGTGGCTTGAGGAGTGGTGCAAAGCTGAGGCCATCTTACAAATGTTACCACGTAGGTTGGATTGGGATGAGTGTTGATTTTTTGAAGCACGAGGGGCGTTCAAGTCAAACCGGAACTTTTAATTTTACAGGTATAAAAAGGATGCTAGCGTGACGGTACTACATGCAGTAGTAAGTGGCAAGTGTGTCCTATTACTGATAGGTGACGCATATGTCGCGGGTCGGTCCAGAGATCGTTAATTGAGATGGCAGACAACAGTGTTAGTGCGTGCATGGAACAGCATGTGGTGATGAAGTTTCTTGTGAACGAAGGTGTAAAACCCACGGATATCTACAGAAGACTTCAAGCACAGTACGGTGAGGAGACGCTCAGCCGCAGTAATACATTTAAATGGTGTAAATGTTTCAAAGATGGCCATATGTTCGTCAGTGACGATCCCAGCCTTGACGGTTCCCAGTCCACAGCAGTCATTCCTGTGAACATTCAGCAGTGGAATGCCTGATCCTGGATAATCGACACATAACGTGTTGTGAAATTGCACAAGAGACAAATCTTTTTCAAGTCAGCATTTCAGCACTGATGACAAAGTGAAGCAGGCTGTCCTAGGATGGTTCAGGTGTACTGACAAATCTTTCTACGCTGAAGCTTTCCAAGCATTAGTTAAATGCTGGGATAAGTGTATAAATGTAGCAGGGGAGTATGTTGAAAAATAAATGCAGTTTCCACTCCTTGAAATGTATTCTTTTATTATATAAATGCTAAAGTCCCAGTTTGACTTGAATGCTCCTCGTATGCTACACACTACTGGATGGTGATATTTTCAGCCAGTACCCTTTCCTCAGTACCAGCCAGACGACTATCTCCTTCTTTGCTTAGAGTGGCACTACAATAACTAGCAGGTCACCTCCATATAGTGCAACTCTGCCTCTAGCTGAACTTCTTGACTATGCAATATCAATCTAAGCAATCACACCAAGACATGCACTGATTTTTCACATTTTGTTTCACACTCTCCCTACCAATAAACCTCTGAGCTGATCTCCATCTATAGGAGACGTCAGTCAGCTATGCCTCATATTGGGCTGATCATAGGCAAAATCTGGCTTCTAATCAGCAGTTACATGGAAAACTTATATTTTAGAAGAGTGATGACAGGTATCTTACAGTCTATTATGTTTCCATAAAATAATGCATTATTTCAACTTACTGGAAAATATTTGATTATGATATTAAAGTTCAGAAAGCCAACTGTGATCCAAGAAATCAGTGTTACAATGGAAATAATAATTATGAAAGGAACAAAGTATCCACTGATTTTATCAGCCAGTTGTTGGATAGGTGCCTGAAAAAATAGAAGAAAATTTATAAAATAGGTTCTGAAAAGTAGCACAATTTATTAAAATGTCTTTCCAAAAGAACTCAGGGTCTACTCGTCTAATACAGCATAGTGTATCCTTACCTTGGACATCTGAGCTTCTTCCACTAACTTCACAATTTGTGCCAAGGTGGTGTCAGAGCCCACATGAGTTGCCTCAACCAGCACAGAGCCATGGGCATTAATGGACCCAGCAATGACAATGCTGCCTGGCTTTTTTCTGACAGGCATAGGCTCACCTAGATAAAACATCATTCAAAAAATAGGAAGTTAAAAATTTTAATTACTGTTCTAAATTCAGGGCTTTGCTGATCTGACATCATTTGGCATACTATAATGTAGAACAATGTGAATAGAAAATATAATGGCTTTAAAACTATTTGTTTTTAAGCTTTTACCGTTTGTTACATGTTCCCGAACCCCCCTCCCTGTGACAGCAGTACGGGAAGAAGTTCCCCCTACTAGCTGTCATTTTTTAACCACTTGCCTACCGGGCACTTATACCCCCTTCCTGCCCAGGCCAATTTTCAGCTTTCAGCGCTGTCGCACTTTGAATGACAATTGCGCGGTCATGCAACACTGTACCCATATGAAATTTTTTGCATTTTGTTGAGACAGATAGAGCTTTCTTTTGGTGGTATTTAATCACCTCTGGGTTTTTTTTTGCTAAACAAACCAAAAACAACTGAAAATTTAGGGAAAAAAAGTTTTTTCTTAGTTTGTTATAAAATTTTGTAAATAAGTGATTTTTCTCCTTCACTGATGTGCACTAATGAGGCTGCAGTGATGTGCACTGATAGGCGGCACTGATGGGCACTGATACATGGCACTGTTAGGTGGCACTGACTGGCACTGTTAGGTGGCACTGATAGGCAGCACTGACAGGTGGCACTGACTGGCACTCATGCACACTGATAGGCGGCACTGACTGGCACGGATACGCGGCACTGTTAGGTGGCACTGACTGGCACTGTTAGGCAGCACTGATAGGCAACACTGACTGGCACTGATAGGCCGCACTGACTGGCACTGATAGGAGGCACTAATAGGTGGCACTGACTGGCACTGATAGGTGGCACTGAAAGGCAGCTGAGATGGGCACTGATATATGGCATTGATGTGCACTGGTAGGCACTGATGTGTGGCATTGATGGGCACTGACAGGTGGCACTGATGGGGCTACACTGATCATCAGGGCACACTGATCATCAGTGTCATGATGATTAGTGTACATGTTCCCTCTGAGTAATGCCGATTACTGGCTCTCCTCTCCTCACGAGCTGTCAGCGTGACAGCTCGTGAGGAGAGGAATGCCGATAACATTTCCTTATTTACATGCGATCAGCTGTGATTGGACACAGCCGATCACATGACAGAGCCGACATCATCGGCTTTTTCCATTGATCTGCTGTGTCCCAGGGACACAGCGCACCACTGATTGCCGCGCTGCGCGCCCCCGGGGGGCCCGCACTCATGGTTAGGGTGAGGAGGACGTCATATGTGGTAGTTCATTGAGTGTTCCTGTCAGAAGTGTCGACTTGCCTGTATGGAATGTATGAACAAGCAGGTACACTGACAGTCTGCAGGAGACCTGCTTGGCATCAGCAATCTGCTGATCACCAGTGCAATGCTTAGAGGTTGCCACTACAAAAAGTAATAAATGCACATTTTTTACCTGCAAAAATACTGTATGTTCATTTATTATTTACTGTAGAAAGATGAACTTATACTTTAAGGCTGCATGTATTCTTGGCAGAATACAACTCTAATTTTGAGAGTTTTTTGTACTAGCATTTAGTGGGTTTTTTTGGCCAGAAAAACACTCTAATAAAAGCAAAGCGGAAGGGTTTTTTCTGCCTTTAAATGCTGAGCTTAAAAAATGCCTCTTGACAGTAACACTTAATGTGCATAAACACAGAGGGTAACATTAGTTTCTTCTGCAGGCAAAACATTAAACTCAAAGCAGTGTTTTTTTTAAACCAGCGTGCATGGAGCCATAAACTGATCTTTAAAATAATTTCTTTAATTTGTTTGCTTCCTAAATGCTTTCCTTCCCAATACAAATCAATGTGAAAGCAGAAGCAACTCAGTAGCAGCATGAAGCAACTCAACTCAAAAAAAAATCCTTGAGCAGTATAAAAACAGAACAAAGCAATCAGAAACAAGACAAAGCAACTCAAAAGCACCTGAAAGCAAACTGTATTTGCACCATTACATATTTAATATTGGGCACTACCATGGTGCCTTGTTTGCAGAGCATACTGGGAATTTCTAATAGGAAAGCCTGAACATTCCTGCCTCTGCCTGCAAATCCAAATGGCTCCATAGAAGGAAGAGCAGGAATGATATCCCATCTCTGACTCTTTCAGCTGGGTATTGTACATTAAACAGCAGGAGATCTGATTTTACCAGCCTATTAAGCCCATACAGAATACTTCAGAAGGATTTTAAGCACCTTTCACATGGGCAATCTGATTAGATCTGCCTGTCAATTAGGCCTATGGGCAGGTGGGTATAAACAGACATGTATCTGTTTGTATCTGGTTACCTTTGAGTCTGTCTAGGTCCAAACAAAAAAAAAAAACCCAAAAACATAATAAAGGTCTGCATCTGCTAGCTGTCTTAGGGCAAAACAGCTATTTTTCTGACTGGCTTAGATGTTGATAAATTTAAGTCACTGTATTCTGTATGGATAAATGATAACATTTTTAATCAACAGCTAGGTTCATGATGTTCCCGTTAGATGTGATTTTCTGTTCTGAGCACATGAGGTCATTAAAAGAACATAAGTTGTACATCTCTACATACCAGTCTTACTTAATTCACATTTGATGGGTACTGGTATTATATTGTGACACAGCCATGTTTGAATGTACTTATGTAAAATAATAAACATTGAAGACTAGCAAACTAGAATAAAGTACACAGAAATATGAACATTAAACAGTACTGTATTCTTTGTTCGAGATGTAAAGGGAGAGGTCAAATTACGATAATAAATAAAAAGTGAAATAGCAGACCAATAGTATAGAAGCATATATAAATACAAAACAGTGTACAGGTCTGGAATGGACATATTTTGTTAGTAGTGAATAAAGTAAAGCAATGAAAAGGAAAGGAGGCAGGTATGAAAAACTCCTAAGAGTGTGCTCAATGGTCCATTGATATGTAACATTCAATGAAGGTAGGTTCAATAATCAAAGAACATGGGTTGATTTACTAAAGCTGGAGAGTGCAAAATCTGGTGCAGCTGTGCAAGGTAGCCAATCAACTTCTAACTTCAGTTTGTTCAGTAAAGCTTTGACAAAAAAACCTGGAAGCTGATTGGTTTCTATGCAGGTCTGCACCAGATTTTACACACTCCAGTTCTAATAAATCAACCCCACAGTCATGTTGTAAGAAGTTAGATATATACACTAACTGGCCACTTTATTAGGTACCCCTGTCCAATTGCTTGGTAACACAAATTGCTAATCAGCCAATCACATAGCAGCATCTAGACGTGGTGAAGACGACTTGCTGAAGTTCAATTCGAGCATCAGAATGGGGAAGAAAGGGTATTTAAGTGACTTTGAACATGGCATGGTTGTTGGTGCCAGACAGGCTGGTCTGAGTATTTCAAAAACTGCTGATCTACTGGGATTTTCACGCATGACCATCTCTAGGGTTTACAGAGAATCGTCCAAAAAAGATAAAATATCCAGTGAGCGGCAGTTGTGTGGACGGAAATGCCTTGTTGATGTCAGAATTCAGAGGAGAATGGGCAGATGGTTGCTGCGACATTCAGATGGTAGAGTAAGAATCTGGCAAACAACATGAAAGCATGGATCCATCCTGCCTTGTATCAACGGTTCAGGCTGGTGGTGTAATGATGTGGGGGATATTTTCTTGGCACTAGCAAGGTATACCTAATAAAGTGGCCGGTGAGTGTACATAGCATCTCCTAGGACACCTCTGAATACAAAAGATGGCAAAGGAGGAAAGCGCTCAGAAGAGCAAACTGGTGGTTAGCTCAAACAAATCTGATATTATTCATCAGAACAATAAACAATCAATGTTATAAATAGTATTTTATTTTTCTCCATTATTCCTGACACGGTTTTGAAGTATTTAGTGTGTGTCTAGTAAGAACTGAGGGGTTTGATATTAGGTGCTTTTAAAGGAATGTTTGCACAAATATAAGATCCAAGTAATCTATAGTTGTCCGAATGGCAACAGGAAAACTTTAAAACTTTCATAACAACACAATTATTTTAGGAACAGTCAAAAGGGAACAAAAGTGGTAATAGACATACTTTATCTACAATATCTACAATAAAAAAACTGCATTACTCGAAAAGGTAGGAGTGCAATTTATATTTCTCTCCCCTATATCTTTGCTTATGAGTTTCTCCAAATACAAGCACTATGTTGCTCTTTCACCTTTAGCTGCAGTTCATAAGATAATTACCTGTGATAAGAGATTCATCTGCCATAGATGTCCCTTCAATGACTTTCCCATCAACTGGAAACTTGCCACCAGGCACAACCTTCACCAAATCTCCTCTCTGGACCAACTCTACAGCTATCTGATCCTCCCTGTAATGCCATAGGAAGTGGCAGCACAAACAAGAAGTTTTAATCAGACTTAAGGAATGTGTGTTATTATTATTATTATTATTAGTAGTAGTAGTAGTAGTAGTAGTAGTAGTACATTAACCCTTTTGCTGACAGACCCTGCGCTCCACTTTTAAACCTGTTCTTTTCCCTTACAGCTTTAAGAGTTTGTAAAAGCCACCCCCCAAACCATATATTTTCTGACCAGTAGAATAAAAAAGGTGTTACTGATTTCTAGGGCCCCATGGTATTTGCAAAAATGTTTATCAAAACATAATTTTTGCTGAAAAAAAAACAAACTAAAATCAGTATTAGCAGATACAAACACAGCAAATTTTACAAAATTCCTACCGAATATAAAAGCTTAACCTGTACTGAGTTAATAAATTACAAATATTTATAAATTTTGGATTGCTCCTTTTTGCAAAATGGTGAAAATCGAACATATGCAGAACTGTTAATAACCAAATTTCTCTAAAAATCTGGAGGTTTTAATTTTTCACTTACAGCTTTCGAATTTGTAAAAGACCCCCAAAAACTATATATTTTCTGTCAAAGCACATGACCAGTAGAATAAAAAGAAGGTACTACTGATTTTAAGGGACTCATAATATTTGCGCAAATGTTTATCATATCAATATTTTCACTAAAAATACACTAAACCATTATTAGCAGATATAAACACAGCAAAGTTTACTAAATTCCTGCTAAATTCCTAATAAATATATAAGCTTAACCTCTATAGAGTTAATAGATACCAAATATTTGTAAATTTTAAATTGTGCCTTTTTGCAAAATGATGAAAATTGAACACATATACAAAAAAATGTCTAAAAATCTGGAGGTTTTCATTTTTTCACTTAACAGCTTTCAGAGTTTATAAAAGACCCCCTCTGAAAGCACATGACCAGTAGAATAAAAAGAAGGTGCTAGTGATTTTTGTTAAGCCCCACAATAGTTGTGCAAATGTTTATCACTCCTAATTTTTACTAAAAAAAACACTAAAATCCTTATTTGCACACAAATCCCCAATATAAATTCCTGCTAAATTCCTACTAAGGCCTCGTTGAATGGGGTGTGCCGTGTTTACCCGCACAGGGATGCACAGGTGTTCTGTACATCCCTGTGCAGGCAATCCTATTCATGTCAACTGGGATGCAGCAGCTGCAAGGACAAACCTGACATCCGTGGGGGTGTAGGTGCATGGCCCCAAACGCAGACAGTGTGAGTTCAGGGACAACCGCATGGATGTCAAGTTGAAAACAATGGCTGTGTCCATGCAGTCACTGCGTCGCAGTTGATATGGATGGGACTGTCTGCACAGGAATGCATGAAAAACCTGTGCATTTCCATGCAGCTGCTGTGTCCCAAATTACATCAATGGACTGCCTCCATGGGGATGAACACCTGTACAACCCTGTGCAGATAAACATGGCCTTGCTGTATTATGCCCCACGTGAACGAGACCTTAGGCCTTGTTTAGACTTACAGTTGAGGGTGGAAACAAATGCATGGTTGAGCTGCATTTTTGCCATCTACCAAACAGTCCCCCTTAAGCTGCACTAGGCAGTGGACAGGGTGGTGATGTCATGATCAAATTGACCCCTATGCCACAAGGGGATCGGGTTTGTGAGGGGGAAGGATCAGTACTGGGGGGGGGATCAGAATACCGGGACTGAAGCAGCAGGGAAAGGGAGAGTTGGGGGGGGAGCAATTTAGTTGACAGCAAAGGCAGGTGGAGTTGCGGGTGACACAGCACAGTGCAGCGGTGGCAGGTGGGGGCACATTTCAAGTAAATAGCTCTAATCAGTGGTTTATCAGACACTGATCAGAGCTATCGGTTTGTTCAGCAGTGTCTGCTAAACAATTCTGCTATAAGTTCATGGTCACTGAAGTGACCATGAGTTTTATAGCAGAGGAAGAATGCAGGTCTGTATGGCATACAGACCTGGCCAGCTAGAAGCAATGCTGGCAGCGAACGGGTTAAAGGTACAGTATATTAAAAGAGCTTCTTCAAGGGAGAATTATACTCTTTCCACTTATTAAAGTGATAATAAACCCTCAGAAACGGATTTAATCACTTCTTGAGTATACGGTTTCTTCTTTATCTTTTAATTCTTGCCTATGTTCCTGTTTAAGCTGGTGTCATGACTGCTGCCCCAGGTTTCCACTTTCAGGGTGGCTCCTTTGTCTTGCAGTGTCCTATGAAGTCACACATGCTTGTAGTGGTTAGAGTTGTGTCTCCCTACCTTGTGTACATTAAAAGAAACACACAGCACCATAGCCTAGGATGGCAAGATGCTCCCCTGCTCATCCCCCTCCCACCTATCCCATCCAACAGACTGACTCCAGACTGCACTGTCTACTATTAACCCTTTCCTGTGAAGACCAGAAGTTCAGAAAAACAGCACTGACAGAGCAGGAGCACTGAAAGTTGTAAACTGCAAGTGCAGGGGTAAGAATTTTAACAAATAATTTAAAGGGAAATGTTTTTTAATTATGCTCAGTGTATTTCATATTACTTTTACAGAGAGTTATGAATATTTGTTTCTTAATTTTTGTCTGAAGTTCTGCTTTTAAGAAAAAATACCCCCATCAAGCCATAGCAAGATGTACAGTAAGAGTGCAAATTGCATTACCTTACAACTGAGAAATTTTGGTCCAAGTGTCACAACAGTTGCCTCTGTAGCTTGCAGAGATATCAGCTTAGCTAGAGCCTCCGATGTTTTACCCTAGAACATAAACAGAAATATGAACAGAATTTATACGGCATATACAATATAAGTGCAATCAAAGTGAACCTGTCACCTGTGACTGGCTGAAATAGGTTTCATAACCTATGCCCTAAGCCATCAGCCCTGAAGGTCCCTGAATCTGTAAACACATACAGTCATGGCCGAAATTGTTGGCACCCTTGATATTTTTCCTGAAAATCAAGTATTTCACACAAAAAAGGTATTGCATTAACACATGTTTTGCTATACACATGTTTATTCCCTTTGTATGTATTGGAACAAATATAAAACAGAGGCAGAAAAGCAAATATGACATAATGTCACACAAAACCCCAAAAATGGGCTGGACAAAAGTATTGGCACCCTTAACTTAATATTTGGTTGCACACCCTTTGGAAAACATAACTGAAATCAGTCGCTTCCTATAACCATCAATAAGCTTCTGACACCTCTCACCCGAATTTTGGACCACTCTTCCTTTGCAAACAGCTCCAGGTCTCTCTTATTGGAAGGACACCTTTTCCCAACAGCAATTTTAAGATCTCTCCACAGGTGTTCAATGGGATTTAGATCTGGGCTCATTGCTGGCCACTTCAGAACTCTCCAGCGCTTCATTTTTGCCATCCATTTCTGAGTGCTTTTTGACGTATGTTTGGGGTCATTGTCCTGCTGGAAGACCCAGGATCTTGGACGCAAACCCAGCTTTCTGACACTGGGCCCTACAGTGCGACCCAAAATCCTTTGGTAATCCTCAGATTTCATGATGCCTTGCACACAGTCAAGGCACCCAGTGCCAGAGGCAGCAAAACAACCCCAAAACATCATTGAACCTCCACCATATTTTACCGTAGGTACTGTGTTTTGTTCTTTGTAGGCCTCATTCCGTTTTCGGTAAACAGTAGAATGATGTGCTTTACCGAAAAGCTCTATCTTGGTCTCATCTGTCCACAAGACGTTTTCCCAGAAGGCTTTTTGGCTTACTCAAGTACATTTTGGCAAACTGTAGTCTTGCTTTTTTATGTCTCTGTGTCAGCAGTGGGGTCCTCCTGGGTCTCCTGCCATAGCGTTTCATTTCATTAAATGTCGACGGATAGTTCGCGCTGACACTGATGCTCCCTGAGCCTGCAGGACAGCTTGAATGTCTTTGGAACATGTTTGGGGCTGCTTATCCACCATCCGGACTATTCTGCGTTGCAATCTTTCATCAATTTTCCTCATCCGTCCACGACCAGGGAGATTAGCTACAGTGCCATGGGTTGCAAACTTCTTGATAATGTTGCGCACTGTGGACAAAGGCAAATCTAGTTCTCTGGAGATGGACTTGTAACCTTGAGATTGTTGATATTTTGCCACAATTTTGGTTCTCAGGTCCTCAGACAGTTCTCGTCTCCTCTTTCTGTTGTCCATGCTTAGTGTGGCACAGACAGACACACAATGCAAAGGTTAAGTGAACGTCTCTCCTTTTTATCTGCTTTCAGGTGTGATTTCTATATTGCCCACACCTGTTACTTGCCCCAGGTGAGTTTACAGGAGCATCACATGCTTGTAACATTCTTATTTATCCGCAGTTGTGAAAGGGTGCCAATACTTTTGTCCAGCCCATTTTTGGAGGTTTGTGTGACATTATGTCGAATTTGCTTTCTTTCCTCCCTTTTTTTGTTTTGTCCCAATACACACAAAGGGAATAAACATGTGTATAGCAAAAATATGTGTTAATGCAATACGTTTCGTGAGAAATACATGATTCTCCTGGAGAAATATCAAGGGTGCCAACAATTTCGGCCATGACTGTATAATTTCATAAATTTTCTGCATTAAGGTAAAAACCTTCCATGTCTGTTCCTCCCCAGCCGCCCCTAAATATTTACCTGAGCCCAATCTTGATCCAGCTCTGTGCCTGTCTATAGCAGCCCTGCTCGCCCTCTCTCCTCACAGGACATGAGGCAGCAGTGGAAGCTATTGGCTCTTGCTGCTGTCAAACAAATCTTGTGAGGAGGGTGCGGGGGACAGGGAAGAGCCGCGCTGTGTGTATCAAAAGACTCACACAGCCTGGCTCAAAATTAAGCCCACATGAGTCAGAAGGGAGGATAAGGAGCCAAGAGCGCTGGAGGGGACCCCAGATGAGGAGTTTCAGGTTTGCTCTGTGGAATGGTTTTGGCAAGTACTGTATAACATGTTTTTTATTTTAATAAAAAAAAACATTTATAACTTTACAATTACTGTAAGGACAACAAAGTGCAGCAACGTGCTACAAGGCCTCTCAAATTGCTCCCTAGTTCCTTCTCCTGCTGCTGCTTCCTTTGCTGCTGCCAGCTGTCTCATTCCTACTCTAGAACTCAGGATGCTGAGCAGGGAGATCAAAGAACGTGGTTCATAAGTTCCCTTATTTCAGTAAACCTTTAAAAGAACCCAGACGTACTCAGTCCTGAGAACTTCAATGTTCATGCTCAGTGCAGCACCAGGAGCCAAGGAGAAGAAAGCGGGGCTCTGTATGCCCAATCCCATTCTCTAGTGTGCCGTGGAGACATCAGAGATTCATTTAGATCCTGATGTCTACAAAGTGAACCTGTCACCTGTGTGTATGCTGTCATCAGGGGGTTTCTTAGATCCTGGTAACAGTAGTAAATAATGAAGTTAAATTATTATTATTATTATTAATAATAATAATAATAATAATAATAATAATAATAATAAGAAGAAGAAGAAGAAGAAGAATGTAAATACAAAATTAAATAAAAAATAAAACCCAATTCTAACCTCAAAGTGACAGTCACTACTTGTCCCACCACCCATTCATCTGAACTTTGTTCTCTTAGAGAACAATGGCCCCTTCACATCTGACACTTCTGGAAGCATTGGATGCCTGAGTTGCCGTCTACACTCTGTGGTTCCTTTCAGTGGTTTATATGTCACAACAGGACACTGTAGAAACTTAGGAGTTGAATGAAGGAACCCTATAGCACAGTTTCTCTAATATATACACATTTCCCTATGTTGTATCCCTTTAAAAACATGGCAAGAACAGAGAAATATAGTACCTGTGGATCTATCAGAAATCCAGTAAGCGGCTAACTTGCTGTTTCTGCTGACAACACAGTGACAGCGCAGAAACCAACACTGTCAGCCCTACCTGCTGTCTATCCTCTCCCATCTCTTTTCTGACATCCCATGCATACGTTGATTTATTTCCCAGAAAACTATGCTGCCACCTTTATTCCCAGGAACCTGATCACACACTATGTGTAGGGAAAGAGCTTTTGAGAGGTGTATTTCTGGGGGTGGGTCTAGAACTGAGCTGTACCTGCAGGAATCTTACAAGCCTGATGATGAGGTGACAAGTAGGTTGGGTTCTGCTTCAGGTACAGAACCCATGTTTGGCTGAACCCAGAAGTCAGCTATCAAAGACAGGCCATGGAGCTGTGGAGAGGACAATATCATGGCCATATAAGGTATATAAGGTAGAACCAAAATAACACAATTATAAAATATTATTTAATATACAGTATATTTGAAAAAAACAAAAACACACAGGGACCTTGGGTGACACGAAAAAACTAGCTGTCTAGCGGTCTCTGGTTTCAGTACATTTTGAGTCACTGACCTGAAACATGCAAATTAGAGAGTGAGAGTGATGTTAGAACTCCTGATCGGCATATTTTTTCAGGTCCATGCCTTAGAAAGTACTGAATCACTTGAATTAGCATGACAGCAGTCAACTATCACTTTCAAAGAATTAGCTAGAAGGTAGCGCTGAATCTCAAAGTGCAAAAATAATAATGCAATCCCTTTTAATAAATTCTAACAAACATGCAAAATTATGTGTCTTCAATACATAAAAAGACTGTGTGTATAACAATAACACAACAAATATCTAATATGTGTGATATTTAAATATAATTGCAATGCAGAAAATGAATATACTACACAGCACAAATGTGCAAATAAACCTAGAAAAAATTATGGTGAACACAAATAACAAAGTCCAAATTGTGCAATTTCATCAGGTGACAAAGTAAAAAGAAGTCCACTACGATCTTAGTCAAATTTGAAGCCATTCCAAATGATCATCAGTGAAAAAGTGATCCAAAGTGCACAAGTGGGAAAACGTTTACCAGAACGCCATGACCCACAGTTACAGAGCAGTCAAGACAAGCATGTTGAGTTTACCATCTAGCGCAACTCCTCCCAAGCACATCAGAGGTTAAATCTTCAACTTGCATTTGCAGCAACCATGTATAGATAAAGGAAAATATGCCCACAATTATGTGAAACCAAAAAACACACTATTATTAAAATCAAGTAAAATCACTTACATTTGGCTTCAATCTGTTAGTGTACTTACATTTGCTAGTACATATAACACTCCCCTCCCCCCAAACTATGCTGCTGTCCAAAGGCACCCTTTGTGCTCATTCATCCAGAGTGCGGGCACTCTAATACAGGAGGTGTGTTACTGACCAGATCACCAGGTGAAAACGGAAAAAAAAAAAAAGAAAACTAATGCATCCACCATGTGATGATTGGTAAGCTGCAATATATAACATTTTTGCTTTTGAGTTTAATACCGCTTTAAGTTTTGTTTTAGGATTCTAGCTGGGACCAAATATCAAAAATGTGGTGACACAAATAAACAAAGCAAAGATGTACTTTCAAGCGATCTACAAGCAAATACCAGGTAGTAAACACTTATCAGTTTACACACAAGGATTATAACGTGTAAGTACCAGGTAAAATAAATACAGCTGGATTTAAAGGATTTGTATTATAATCGGGAGATCATTTCCCTGCCAACTGATGTGCTCCTAATAACCACTGTGCCTCATTGTTCCTGACCTGTATAATACACAGCAATGGTTAAACATTTCCAGAGATAAGTCAGGGTAGAGATTTCCTGGTGAGCCCCACTGGGACCAATCTAACACAATTACCTTTGCTATGTGCTCAAAGAGCCATCTCCCCAGAGCAATAAACATGAACAGCATGGGGGGTGTATCGAAGAAGGTCTCTGGGCTCTGATCAGACTTCTCTACCATGGCCACAATCAGTATAACCACTGAATATATGTAGGCAATGGTGGTCGCCAGGACTATCAGAACATCCATGTTGGTTGTCTTGTGCTTCAGAGACTTGTACGCCTGCACATAGAAGTACCATCCTCCAAGACACTATGAATCAGAGAAGATAGGAACATCATTAATGTAGATATATTATTGCCAAATAAAATTTTTTATTATTATTATACAGGATTTATATAGCGCCAACAGTTTGCTCAGAGCTTCACAATATAACGGGAGACAATACAGCAACAATACAGTTCAATACAAGAGGGATAAGAGGGCCCTGCTCCTTGGAGCTTCCAATTTATAGAACAACATCTCATAGTTATTCTGTTACGTGATTTTGATGTCTAGACTCTTACAGTAAAATGGGTGCAAAACAGGCTTCCATCATCATCAATCAGTTATATAATAAAAAAATATATATTTTTTTTTAGCTGTATAAAAGCAAATACTGATTTTTTTTTTTTAGCTGTATAAAAGCAAATAAAAGCAATACTGAACAAAAGCTAAGTATTATACAGTTAGGGTTTTATTTATGTAGTAAAACGTTAAAGCAGATAATGAACAATAAATGGCATTAAAGTAGAACTAAAGGTAACACTTTGTTTCCATTTTGGATACAGTAAGGGAGGGTTATAACCCCTGTCAGTTTTTTTTTGTCATGTGTGTCCCATTGAGGAGATTTCCCTTCACATGTTTTCATGTCATGTCTTGTTGGATCATTCAGGGCACGGCTTGGAAGCAGTATTCCAGTGTCTCAGAAGAGACGTGTGAACTGTACATTGGGCTCTATAGGGGACTCCTAGGAGCTTGTTATGCATAGAATAATCAGATTTCAGTCACATTTGTTTGGTTTCATTTCAAAAATCCACAAGGACTAAATTAGCTCACATTTCTGAATGTCCCATGTGTGTTATTTTGACAGCTAATATTAAACAAAGATTGTCACATCAGTAAGCTTTTTCATGGTAAAAACCTAACATTCCATATTTGCATACAAGCTATTGAATTAATTTATTTTTTTAAAGGGAAAGTAAATTGGTAAATCAGGTGAAATATGAAATATTCATATTATATATTCATAATATGCAATTTGCAGCGCAAGTCTTTTCACATTTTTTTTCTTTTCAGACTTGCAGATAGAAGCCCATTGTATGAAGAACTCAATAGCACAAGCTGCATGATTCACTTTGGATGGATCATGAGAGCTTCCAGCCAAACAAATCCCGCCTCCAGGCAGGCTGTTTCTGCTGTGCTGATTTGTTAGAAGATGATTTTTTTTCACGCAATATATATATATATATATATATATATATATAGTTTTAAAAACGTATAAAAAATGTATCAACTTTAACAACTACATAAAATTGACCCAAAACCATGATAGATTTCTTTTAACCAGAGTAGTAGAAAAGACACAGTGACCAGATTTAGAAAATAAGTAGAGCTTTTTTATATATTTTTTTAAAGCAGGGTTCACACTGAATGTGATTTTGAAAACAAGTGAAATTGCACAATTTCAAAGTCACATGTCAGTGCGACTAAGAAGATATCTGTGTGACTTCATTCACTGATTTATATGTAAGTTGCACCCGAAATCAGCAAAAAGTAGTTTTTCAAAATCAGTGCGACTCCAATGGAGTCACACTGATTAGAACGGTTCCATTGCAAACAATATGGTGGGACTTGTTATGCGATTTAAAACTGTCAAGTTGCATGACAAGTCACACCAGTGTGAACCAGGGCTAAATGTATTGTCAAAGTGAATTTTCGCATATCTTGAAAATTCACTTTGCAAAGAAAACTCAATCATCTGCAAGGAGAATGAAAAAAAAAAAACTGGATTTTTCCTGGCACATGATCGGAAATAATCACAACTTCATTTCATTTATTAAGCTGAGTGAAAATTCCCTTTACAAAGAGAAAAAATAATACAGCTTATTGAATGAGATGAAGTTGTGCTGACTTCATCATCTAATCGTGTGCAAACAAAAATCATTTTTTTTTATTTTCTTTGCTCATATTTTTGGTTTCACCACAATCAATAAAATAAGTGTAAATTCACTTTAAAATGAACATGCTCTACTCATTTAGTAAATCATCCCCATTGATCTGGACAGAAGGAAGATGCCAAGAATATGGCATGTGGCTGTGTGTTAAGTTGAAATGGTGGACAGTGCTGGTTGTCTGACAGTCATACTGACGCTCTTCAGTTCTTTGAGTTCCTGATCTAGAACAAATATGCAGATAGGGACTTCTGGCTTTCCTGACTTTGCTCTGGATTAGAGATTCTAAGAACTGAAGCTAAAGTATCAGCATAAGTATAGCAATTTTAGAAGGAGGTCAGCAATAGAAGCATTCTTCTCTCTCATGGCAGGTTTACTTTAAAGATAGCCTGGAGAACTGGTGAAATGAAGCCTGGAGCATCAACTGCTGACTGAAATGTTCACATTAAAATGTTTTATATTTAATATAATACATGTTTTTTGCTTTTTTTAAACTTGTGAACTTAAAGTGGCTCTAAAGACAAACAATTTTTTTTACCATAATGCATTCCATGCATTAAGGTAAAAAACCTTCTGCATTCAGCTCCCCACCCCATTCCCCCTTATACCTACCTGAGCCCAATCTTGATCCAGTGATCTGCACAGGAGCAAAGGCAGAGAGCAAAGACTTTTTCTGCTGTCTCCCTCCTCATTGGCTCTGAGACAGTAGTGGAAGCAATTGGCTCCTGCTGCTGTTAATCACAGCCAGTGAGGAAGGAGTGGGGGGAGGCCAGGTCGAATCCCGCTGTCTGTGTCAATAGATGCAGACAGCAGAGCTCAGGAGTAAGATCACATAAGTGCCCCCATAGCAAGCCGCTTGCTATGGGGGCTCTCAGCAGGAAGGGGGGGAGCAGTAGCACCAGCAGGGGACCTGAGAAAAGAAGGATCGGGGCTGCTCTGTGCAAAACTATTAGACAGAGCTGGCAAGGATGACATGGTCGTTATTTTAATTGAAAAAAAAAAATTAGAAATCACTTTAAAAACTAAAGAAAGCAACCAAAGTTTGAGAAAACACTGTACATTTAAACATGTCAACACCTACCTGGACCAGAGAACAAAGAATAAAGAAGATGAGGTTCATGATGGACAGCCCAGGGATAATGTTTGTATCCAGTGCTGATGGCTTTTTTCCATTGTGGGTAAATAACATGTAAATCATGATACCAATGACGGGAATGCCAAAAAAAAGGCTGCACAAAAAGGAGCTTCTCCACCTGTAATTAAAGATAAGTATAATTAATAATCTAAGACACATTTAAAGTTTCCTTTATAATCTCTTCACGGGCTCATTCTTAATGTAACATTAAACAAATCAAAGTAGACATAAATGTAAAACAACATCACACAGTTCCATCAATGCTGCTGGCTATGCACATGGCAAACTCCCAGATATTAATGCAATTTTGGGGATACGTCACAATCAAAAACCATGAACTAGTATTTTCAAATCAATCTGTCTTGTAGGTTAGAATCAATATTTAAATGTATCAACCACAATAATAAAAGAAGAAAGTCTAAAGCTGGCAGTACACTGATCAAAATTCGACCGGTTCAGCAGGAACTAGCCAAATTTCAATCATTGTGTGGCAATCCCTGCTTGCCAGAAGTCGATCAATTGATCAGCTTCTGTCCAAGGGACATGTTCTCGAACAGCGTCTGCAGCCACTCAGCCAGCTGCAGCTGCTGATTAGTGTATTCTGACAGCAGCAAGTGCAGAAGTGGCTATCAACTTATGAGGTATAGATGGCATCAGCAGCAACATGGCGCCTCCTCACTGCCTGTTTTACCCCCCCCCCCCCCCCCCCCCTTCAGCAAGTGCCACACTACCATGTCACAACCATGTGCATTACAAATGGTTGCGGGGTAGTTGCAGCATGGCTCCATTCACTTGAATTTAATGGATTTAACAGCCGGTAGTGCCTGCTGACAGCGACAGGAGGTATAATTCCTGCTGCAGCTGTGAAGCAAAGGATCATGGTCGCTGTATATGTACACCCCCTGCCGCTGCCTTTGCAACTTAAACAGGAGTCCTTAGTAAAAACGTGGCTCAGCCCCGCAAGTGTAAACAAGCCCTTACATAGGCAAGGTTTTATTGTAAAACCTGGTGTGATGGTAATGAACTTGGTAACTACAGTTGCAAGAAAAAGTATGTGAACCCCTTGGGATTACATGGAGTTTTGCATGAATTGGGCATAAAATGTGCTCTGAACGTCATCTAAGTCACAACAATAGAAGAACACAGTCTGCTGAACATAATACTACACAAACATTAGATGTTGCCATGGTTTAATTGCACATAACATGTAAACATTCACAGTGCAGGGAGGAAAAAGTATGGAGGCCCTAGCTTAATGACTTCTCCCAGAGCTAATTGGAGCCAGGAGTGAGCCAACCTTGACTCCAATCAGTGTGATGATATTGGATGTGTTGCTGACAGCTGTCCTGCCCTTAAAAAACACACACCTGTTTTGGGTTTACTGGTTTCAAGAAGCACTGTCTGATGTGAACCATGCCTCGCAGAAAAGAGCTCTCAGAAGAGCACAGAATACGCCTTCTGGAGTGGCCCAGTCAGAGTCCTGACCTCAACCCGATTGAAATGCTGTGGCATGACCTTAAGAGAGCGATTCACACCAGACATCCCAAGAATATTGCTACACTGAAAACAGTTTTGTGAAGAGGAGTGGTCCAAAATTACTCCAGATCGTTGTGCAGGTCTGATCTGCAACTACAGGAAATGTTTGGTTGAGGGTATTGCTGCCAAAGGAGGGTCAACCAGTTATTAAGTCCAAAGGTTCACATACTTTTTCCTCCCTGCACTGTGAATGTTTACATGTTTTGTGCAATTAAACCATGGCAACATCTAATGTTTGTGTAGTATTATGTTCAGCAAACTGTGTTCTTCTATTGTTGTGACTTAGATGACGTTCAGAGCACATTTTATGCCCAATTAATGCAAAACTCCACGTAATCCCAAGGGGTTCACATACTTTTTCTTGCAACTGTATATTGAACAAGACACATGACTACATTGATTGCCACAAACTAATAATCATAGTACATTTATACTTACTGCTTTATTTCCTGTCTATGATCTAGATTATGGGCTCTGGGATCTCTTTTGGGCAAAGATGCTCGAAATCCAATTCCCTGTTAAAGAAGCAAAGAAAATCCCAGAATAAAGTGTATCTATATCCAAGAACAAGGATTTTATATACTACAGCTTACCAGTCCTTACCATCACTACATGATTTGCAGGTGTAAAAGTGACAACACGTTTCCCGTTCAAAGAGATGTAACAGTCTTTTACTTCCGCTGTGTGATGAGACACCTAGTTAACAGGTGGGAAGGCTCACTTTCATCATTCAATGCGTGTGCTGCTAGTAATATGGAGTCATGTCAGCTTACTGAGCTTCAAAGAGGGCAGATTGTTGGTGCCGCTTAGCTGGTGCCTCTGTGACTGAAGTTGCCAATTTATCTGCCGTGTCGTGAGGTACAGTATCAAAAGGTTATAACGGCTTATAACGGAAAGGGAAAACTTTGTCTGATAAACAAAAGCGCGGGTCGACATGGTCAACTGACTGAAAGAGACAAAAAGGACATTGTGCAGGATTGTGACCCGGAATAATAAAACAACTGCTGCAAAAGTGACTGCAGTGCTCAATCTCAGTCTTCACGGGGACCATGTTGACCATATTATGCTTATCAGACAATGTTTTCCCAGAAACTGTATATGCTGCCATAACCTTTGATGCTGGACCTCGTGACACGGCAAATAAATTGGAAATGTCAGTCACAGAGGCACCAGCTAAGCGGCACCAACAATCTGCCCTCTTTGAACCTCAGTAAGCACCAACACGACTTCGTATCAGTGAATGATTAAAGTGAGGCTTCTCACCTGTTAGCTAGGTGTCTCATCATACAGCAGAAGCAAAAGAATGTCCTTTCAGCTTTCAATGCGAAACACGTCGTCACTCTCACACCTGCAAATCATGTAGCGTTTCCATTTTTTGTGTCCAACCTTTGTATAAGCCAGCAGGCAGGGAGGACATGGATCCCTTCTCTGACTCAGTGAAGGGTGTTTTATGTAGTTTGGAAGAGCAAAAGTTCAAATTACTCAGGTCCTTATGGCGCAGCAGTAAAAAAAATCTGCATATGCAGCCTCTAATTAGTTGCCTGCTGATTGCAAGAGGTATATGAATGATTATATGCAATATTTCATATCAACCTCTTTAAAAGGAAAAGCTATTATTCAGAAATGATTTGGAATGATTAGAGATTACCTCAATCACTTGAATGATGTCTCTTGGGCCAACAACTTCTGGATCAAACTTGACTTGTGCTTTGCAGGTAGCCAGAGCTACAGAGGCCTGTAGAATACCTGGCATTCTCCTCAATCGGGATTCAATGTTATGAACACATGATGCGCATGTCATACCTGTAATCTAGAGATAAAAACAAGGAAAATGGTAAGCTTCTTAACTGGATGTATACATATTCTATTCCCCCATACGGTTTATTTGCCCTATGTATTCCTTGTAATGCAATGTATCTGGGGCAGGACTGTAAATCAAATATAAGGAACCATGTATCCTCCGGCATTGGTCACAGTTCTGTGTTTGTAACACATTAAAGTGGGACTAAACTCTTTCAATCAACATTAACTATTTTTTAATTATTATGCTGCTAGCATTAGTAAATAGATTGGAAGGTCTTTTTTATGTACTTGTGCTATCTTTGTTTCCACATTTCTTCAGTTGCTTCTTGGTTTCTGGCCTAGGCCAAAATGATGTCATACATCCCAAGAGTCTTCATGAGCATTTTTTTTTTCCGTTTGGATTATGAGAGGAGGGGCTTTCTCAGCTAAGCACATCCTCTTGCTTGCATGCCTGAGCTAAGCACAGATGGATTCCAGGAAGAAATTTCTACAGGAATCATCTGCCCTTACTCAACATGGCCATATCAAGAAATGCTAGCGGGGTGTTTTTTTAAAGCATGGAGACATGGATGGGAGAGTTTGCTTTGAATGTTAAAAATGAATTACATCGTGTTTACGGTTTCTGTTGCTCACATACAGTTAGGTTTCACATAAACCCTTTCGCTGCCAGAGCAGTTTTTGTGTGTGTTTGCATATATGTTTGGAAAATCATTTTAGGCCTGAAGATTGCATAAACCCCCAAAACATTGTATATTTTCTGAAAGGAGACACCTTAGACAAATGCAATAAATTACCCAATGTTTGGTAAAATATAAAAGATAAGGTCGTACCGAGTAAATAGATACCCAACATGTCAACCCCTAAATTTGCGTGCAGCAGTGAAATGGCGACAGACTTCCATACCCTATGTTTTCTATAGGTGACACTGTAAAAGCCCCCTATAGGTCAACAGTTTAGCGTTGTAGAGGTCTGGTGCTAGACTTACTGCTCTCATTCTGTCGTGCGTGGCGATATGTAACGTGTATCGCAATGAACGTTTTCATGCGTAGGCAATCCTGACACGTGTGTTTACATTCATACATGCGGGGGTGGGAGGGAAAAAAGTTCCCTATTTTTGATCACATAGGGGACAAAATGTGATTTTTCATAACATGGCGACAAAATTATCCCTTTTTTGGTGACAGGTTCTCCTTCATTCAGCGCCCCACTGAATGTAACGCAATACATTCTTTTCCAGCCATACTGGCCAGGGAAACTGTCATGAAGACCCGGAAGTGATGATTTATACATCACTTCCAGGTCAGCAACAAGAAGGGCAAGTGGAGCCCGGGATACATGGTGGGGGGCACCCGTCTGTGTGTGTAAAACCACCTGTATGACCTACAGACCTGGCAGCGAAAGGGTTAAAGCCCAAATTAAGTCTCACGCCTTTTTATCTCTTTATAATCTTGTACCAAGGTATGTTAAGATTTGTAAGTGATTTTTGCTTGGAAATGGCAATGGTATTTTAGTTTTATTCTTTAATTAGTAAATAATTTATACCTCCCATCCAATAGGCTAGTTTAATATTTTGTATTTATCTCTATCATGTAGTGCACATTTATTAAAGAGGTAAGTACACAATGTGAGAAGGAATATTGGCTTAGGCATATTTTAGAAAAAAATGTTTTTTATGCATTTGTTGTTATTTTAAAGGATAAGTTCACCTTTGGAACATGTTATATGTTGCACCTGTTTTTTGGGTGGAACATGTACATGTTCCCATAGAAACAGCCGCACCCGCTGCCCCACCTCCTTCTGACAGATGGCACGGGGAGAAGTTTCTCCCTGCTATCTGTCAGATTTGAAACCAGTGGGGCTCTGTCCACACGGCCTCGCTATTCATTCACAGAGTTCTGTGAATGAGTGCCTACAAGTCCCGGCAGCCTTAGCGGCTGTCAGCTTGTTGTTTTCAATTAACTACCACGGCGCTGTGCAGCATCATGGTAATTCATTCAAGCTTCCTGTCTGAAGATCTGCTTGGCTGCACATCCCGTACAGCTAGCAGATATTCTGACAGGTCTGCATGGCTTCAGCGATCTACTGATCACTGGTGAAATGCTTTACAGGCTCCTTTGGACAGAAAAATAATAAATGCACATTTTTTTACCTGCAAAAGGTGTCCAAAAGGTGAACTTATCCTTTAAGTAAAAAGAAACCATATATTACTAATCATAGAACCTGCACTCACCAAGATACAATCTGAGACAAAAAACTAAATCTTTTATGCTTTAAACCCCAACTGAAAACTCATTCCTTTTTATCTCTTTCTAATCCTCTACCCCAGCATGTTATAATTTGTTGTCTTGGAAATGGTAATGATATTTTAGTTTTATACTTACCACTAGCTCAATACTACCATGTGTAGCAGTGCAGTCTTCCAATACTACTGCTCCAAACCCCAGGCCTTCAATGAGTTGTGCAATCTCGCTTGGTTCAATCCATTCTTCCATGTATCTGACCTCTGCTTTACCAGCCATCAGTGCCACCAGCACAGAAACAATACCTAGGGAGGAAGAGTTCACTGGTTACCACGTGATCTAAATCATTACAGAGGGCCATTCACAATTTTAACTTTTGCACTTTAGTGTGTATGTACTGTACATCACCATGACTTTTAGACTATAGATGTGCAATATGTATGACAGAACATCAAATGGGATTCCACAGTCAGTTGTTTTCAGTTTTTAGAATTATTTTCATTTGTTTTATACTGATTCTATTGGTAACTAACTATGGGGAAAGAAGACAAATTGACAACTGATGGCTCATACACATAGATTACGGTCATTGAGGGATTGAACATGTGTTTAGAGCATATTTTTATGATTTCAGTAATATGAAGATAAAGATGAGATAAAAACCAATGGACAAAGGAGAATGATCTAAATCAGAGCAGGAAGCCAGGCCTATTCAAGGGTCAAAGTACCACAGAGAGACAGTTCTCTGTCCACCTAAGCACTGTGGTTTAGTAGTTCTTCAGAACTTAAAATATAGCAACATTATGAAGTCAATGCAAACAAGGCATGTACATATTCTGTTATAGATTACAAATATGGATGTCTATCTGTTGGGACCCAGATCTGAACCTGCTATCTCTGCTGTGTCTGGCAGTATCTGTTCTTGCTGAGCCACCTGAGATGCTGGACAATTCCTTGGACAATGTTGCCTTGTACTTTGTTTCTGGTGAATCTTGAACTCTTTGCTTTTCCCATGAGCTTCCTAGTTAAGCCATGCCGTTGCACTTCCTACATGTCAGATTATTGTGGTCCCTCCAGTCAATATCTCGCCCTTGTCACTCCTGCTGCTATCCGTATCTTCGCTACCACTCATTACTGACCTATGTCTTGTTCCTTGACTGTGCTTCAACTTGATACCAACCTGCAACTGACCTTGTTACTGACCTCTGGCTTATTTACGGAATATGCTTCTGTTTGATCCCTACCATCTACCCATTATATCTGCTACTGGACTCCAGCTTGCTCACCTGGTGCGGCCATAATGAAGACTGTGACCTGGTATTAACATGCAGCAAAACCAAAACCCACCATCAGGAGCACTGATGAATACTGGTTAGTTCTTAAACCCTGCACCTCTGGTGAGCTGTGTCATCCACCAGGGTAACCTGCTTGTATACCTATTCTGATGGTCAGTGGAGCCTTTCTACTGCTATAGCTCTTGGTCTCTGAGACTGACCCCTGACTGTGATACTATGCTATGTAAGACATCACAAAACAGATACCATCTTTCTTCTTCAGATTCCTCTCAATGTTGGACACACAGGAAGCACATGTCATCCCCGTGATCTGTAAAACACATTTCTGCGGGTCGGTGTTATCACTCAGAGTAATATCAATATCTGGGTTTGGCTTCTTAGGGATAACATCCAGAATATAATCTTGATGGGCAGTCAGTTCCTTCGACATTGCTGAGGTATTGTGCCTTGCGTCTGCTGGTTCTGCCTGGTTGCTGATTATAGGCATTGAAGAATCTAAAATACACAAAAGCATCCACATATAATTAGGGGGTAAAAGAAAATGGTGACATCCTTCCAAAATATTTGTCAGCTAAAAAAGTATCTAAGGACTGGAAGAAAGTGCGTTAAACTAGCTCCAAATCTATGCAGTGTCTTACCTACCCCTGGTGCTATCTGGGACAGCCACTCACAGCCTTGATCCAAAAAAGTTTCTGTTTTTCATTTCAAATATACAGGTCAATGAAAGCTATATTTGCCCTATATTGCCTGCTGTTGGTATGGAAATAGTGTTAGTTATAGCTGGAAGCAGACAATTTTTTCCAAAGCTGATAGTGGAGGTGGGGACATATGACAATGTAGGGAGGTGCACTGAACATGCTTGTTTAGGTTAATATGTGAGTGAAGGCACAGAGGCAATAACAGTTCTTTAGGGGTTTTAAAATATAATTTAATTAAAAAAATGTTATTTTCTTTAAACTTCACTTTTTTCTGTTACAAGTTGGCTGATGCTCAGTGGTGCCTTGGGTCTACAGCTAGGTAAGGGGGTGCGCGGCCCACCATGTAAGGAGCACACTGACCACCATGATACTGGAAACACTTACCACCAGTGTAAGTGGGTATGCTGACCACCATTGTAAGGGGGGATGCTGAGAGAAGGTAGCATACTGACCACCAGCATAAGGGGACACTTACTCCTGACCATTGCACTCTGAAAGCTGTGCTGTGCAATTACATACTCCTGCCTCCTGCACTCTGACTGCAGTATGTTGTATATTACATAGTCCTGACTGATTCCTTACTACTCTACATAATTCTATCCTATCATAATCCTAGAATTTATTTTTTTATTGTTGGGGTTTAGAAGCTTTTCAAAATAAACTTGCTGGACCCTAGTCTTACAAAGATTGAGAACCACTATCCTATAGTATCTGGACAAGGGTTTATTTTGATGCTCAGTGCCTAATTTGTTTATAGATTGTAGCATTTGGAAGAAAACTAGAAGGTATTACTGAGATTTCATCAGAGACGTTCCTGGTAACCTGGGATGACTGTATATATCAGGGAGGGAATAATGCTACTTTGACCTTCATTGAATTACTGTATGTGATACATTTACCTCATATTAACTATCTTTGTTTAGAGCAGCCTTTTTCAACTAGTGTGCCTTGGCAAAATGCCTAAAAATTGCCAGAAAATTGTATACAAGCCAGTGGGTGGATCAAGCCTGCCTTTTAGTTACAAACTCACGGGTTTTCATTTTGCACCAATACAACCTTCCAGCCGCAAGGGTCCTAACAACCAATGAAATCACTGGTTGATACGGATGATGTCGGGGGCGAATGCACGACATCTTTCTTTGCCCCTCTCCGTCAGCACTGGGGTCACATTAGCTGAATGAGGGAAAGAAACTGAGGGAGAAGAGAAACATTGGAATACTAGTCTGTACCAGTGTGCAAAGGTGTTTGCCTTGGAAGAATATATCACCTCTAATGTTTTTTACATTTTAGCATGGGGTGCCTTGAGATTGTGTGGAATTGAGAAACACTGGTTTAGAGAATTGTTTGAATTGACCTTATCTAACAATTATTATTTCTTTCAGTATGCCTTTAGTATACAATACTGTGGGGTTGCAATGAGATTCAATGTTGCTCCGTTTTTTGAGGAGACATTTAGTCTGGATTCACACTACTGCTAACTGAAAGTCGTGCGACTTTGCCAGACAACTTGAGTACTATTTTGAAGCAACTCTGAAGCAACTTTCAGGGAATGCCTGGGTAATCTTCATGTAATGTCAGATACAAATCACATCAATATAGATAAGGAGGCGACTTCTAATTAAGTATATGGACACAAGTCAGATAGAAGTCACCTTGAAGCAGTACAGGAACTTTTTATAAAGAGCTACTTTAGTAGTGCTAATTAAGACAGCTCTCATTGACTAACATGGGATTTCATATGTCGTGTGACTTGTAGTCTCACAAGTTGGATCCCAAGTCGCGGCAGTGTGAACTGAGCCTTATAAACAACTTAAGAGACCAAGTTAATTTATTCCAATATAGTGTTCACAGAACTTTGTATGGTGTGGTGGCACTACATGGATGTTGTCCATCCACATTGGCAGGGCAACACTGGATTCCTGTCATCCTTTCATGAAGAAACAGTGAATATGATGTGTTTCCTTTTACCTATAGTTTTAATACAGCTTTGTTACCTTATATACCGGTGAACTTGAATAAAGGTGGGGATGCTGTTGTTCTTATCTAATTTTCCTGTGTACAGAATTTTGATTGATGGCAAAGTGGAAAATTAAACACTACTAAATACCAGTGCTGCTTCCTTTCTTTTTTTTTATTGGGTATATGGCAATATACAGGTATACAGGGGACTGCCTGATACATCTGCACAGAAGAGACTACCTTGACAATGAAATGTATATGTATATATATATAATACACAAATATATTTGAGACTGGCTAAGGGTTATTCAGTATCAGAGTTTGAAAATGGTAAGTTATGTATCAAAAAAAAGAAACAAAAAAGTATAAGAGCATGGACAAAAGGCCACTCTTTATTAACAATAAACCATATGTTACTGTGATCCATTTTAAATAATCTTTTGTTCCATTAAGTGTACCCATTCATTTTCAATGGGCCCTCAACGCATGACCATTGGCCAAAGAATGCGCCTGCCTTTCAGAACACTGCATGGCATTGCATGCACTACACAATAATGATCTGATGCATTTGTTTTGTCCATGTATGCACAATGGTTGCAGCTGAAAATGAAAAGCAACGCACTGCAAAGTGCAAACAATACATGTTGCTGTACCACAATATCACTACAGCTGTATGTGTGTGAGATGCTGAATGTTCTTATACCTTTCCCTATAGCCCAAAGCCTAGGAGTTCAGCTTGACCAATTCACCTCTTCAACAGAGACCAGGTGACTAAATGTCTCAAATGGATATAGAAATAAATGTGATTTTACCAAGCTGCAGATTGTTACAGGGTAACACCATTTTCAAGAGAAAAAAATTGCAAATAAAAATAAAATGATATAGCATATACTACAATTGTGACTCAAGTTATATTGCAAATTAATGTTATTAAAAATTACTTTTCCTTTAAATCTGCAGCACTGTAAATTTTCTGTAAAATGCAATGCAATATGGCTACTTGGAGGTGTTCTGTACACATATGGTGTACAGAATGCTCCCTAAAAATGTCATTTCCTGCTTGTGTGATTGGCTCACCGATTTCCCCAGAAGTCTGCAGTAAGAAAGTTAGATTTTTGACATCCCCTGCATCAAAAATGTCATTTTTGGCGAGATACTCCCAATGGGAAATCACATCTAAAGGGATGCAGACCCTACCATTTTCCTTATTAGAGCCCTGCAGGTGCAGCAGCTGATTAATAATTATAAAACCACTCCCATACAAAATCACTTTGCACATGGACACAGACAAACAGCTATTTCTCCAGAATAAAAAAACAAAAAACGGTAAGAACCTGCAACAATGTTATTTAAAAAAACAAAAAAAAAACTTTCAATGTACATAGATTACTCAGAGGGGAATGTTTATTCTAAGCAAAATTGGAGTTTCTCTTTAGGTGTAAACTTACCAGACACAAGTGTAGCATCAAACCCCATGTCTTCTATGGCTGCTCTTAGCTCCTCTGCATTTGTTTCACTTGGGTCATAGTGAATTTTTTCCAACCGCTTCAGCTAATAAAACAGCTATGGACTGCACTCCTCTTCTCTGAGAGATCATATTTTCAATAGAGGACACACAAGATTCACAGGTCATTCCTACAATGCTGATTAAGGCCATGTTGGTAACAGTTTGGGGGCCTTGTTTATAGGAAGAATGATACATAGATTTTAACTTTGTTGCGGAGCTCAAATGTTCTTCCGATGGAAGGATAACCTTGAAATTTCCAGGAGGAAGTGCTTCAATTGCCTCTTTCACAGTAACCAGGCCAATAACAGTTTTAAAGAAACATATAAGTGCATTTTTGTTCTCAAGAGACACCTTGATACTCAGAACACCAGGAAGCCCTGAAATGGACCCTTCTATATTGTGGACACAAGATTTGCAGTGCATTCCTTCTATACCAATAGTCACTACTCCTGTCTGACCATCATTGACAGCACCACCAGAGTCTGAAACCTTTCTTGGTATAGAAACTGCCTGCAACCGTTCAATGTCAATTGTTCCAAGTTTTAATGGGTCAGGTTTACTCTTAAGAGAAGCCATAAATCCCATATTATCTATATGATTCCTAAGCTCTTCCGGCTGAATATACAAATGATCATACACAATGACTGCTTCTTGGCCTGTAAGGGACACCTTTATTTTTTGTACACCTTGAAGTTTCCCAACTTTCCCTTCAATCGTGTTGACACAAGACTGACATGTCATGCCCTCTATCCTGATCTTGGTCACCTCTTCTTTGTAACTCATGCTCTTCAGTGGTGCGATCATCTCTTGTATGTTAGCATCAAAGCCCATGTCTTCTATCTCTTCACAGATCTTCTGAGGGGTTATTTCTGAGTGGACATAGTACACAGTGGCATTGTTTTCATCCAGGCAGACCTTAATGCTAATTATGCTTGGCAGCTTGGAGATCCTTCCTTCAATAGACTGAACACATGACTGGCATGTCATGCCCACAATTCCTATAACCACAGAAGATGAGAATGTCATGTCATGTTGACTTCCTTCATAACCCCGGTTGTCGAAAGCAAAATTGTTTTTTTCTGCTGCTGGGGTATGGCTTGTCTTGTGAATGCCATTTCTTGAAACCTAAAAGTAAAGTAAAAGATATATAAAAGCAATTTAGAACAAAAACAGTTGCATTACAAAATGATATAAATAACTGTCACATGCAGTTTTGTTCAATAAAAAAAATATATGGTGACTGCCATAGAACGACCTAAATGTAATGAATCGGAGGTAACCTGAGGTAAGTAGTCACAAGTCCATTTACATCTAACAGCCCAGAGGTCCACCACAGCTCACTGTTAAAATACAGGCAAAAAGTGTGACAGAAGTGACATCTGTCCCATTCTACTCCGATTCACCAGACGATCTGCTCACTCATACCTTGCTGAATGGAGCAGAACGTGCCTGCGTGTGAAAAAAACCCTTAGGCCCCATTAACACGGGCGGATGACAGGTACGTGTCCACTCTGCTTATGCGGAGTGGACACAGACACAGCCCACTTTCCTATATAGGTGGTCGAATGTAAACGGACTACCTGTCCTTTTACATCCGACTGTCATCTAATCTGATTCACTAGATGGATGGGGAACCAATCCCCATCCATCTGTTTTTAGTGGTTCTGATCGGATCGGATGCAGGCGGGCGTAAACGGACACAAGACTGTTTACATCCACCGCTCCATAGAGAACACCGGATAGTCTAATCAGGTTCGATTGAAAAACGGACAGGCAGATTCGATCAGACCATCCATTGCCCTCTATGGAGCGGCATATGCAAACAGACATGTCCGTTTACACCCGCCTGCATCCAATCCGATCAGAACCACTAAAAATAGTTGGATGGAGGATTCGTTCGTCATCCCTCTGATCGGATGTAAAAAGACAGGCAGTCCATTTATATTCGACCACAGTATTGGAAAGGGTTGTATCTGTGTCCGCTCTGCATAAGCAGAGGGAACATGCACCTGTCATCAACCTGCTCAGAAGGGATCAGCGGATAGATTCCCCCTACTGAACAGGCGAATCTGCTGGCGTAGTCTGCATGTGTGAAGGGTGAGTTTGTTTCTTTTTCACAAGGCAGCAGTCATCTTGTTCAGCTCATAAAGCCCTTCCTTCTTTATTAATAATTCTTTACATTCCCCCATTTTTAGCGTATACAAGTGAAAAGATGTGTTACAATAAACCATATTTTAAAGGTAAAAAGGCTCAATTCACTAAAGGTTACCATATGTGATAACACTGTCAGGTGACTCATTTGCATAAATTATCGGATGCGGTAACAAAATGTCCAATTCACTTTAAAAAAAAAACAAAAAACGATTCTGCGGTATTTAACGCAAAATTAAAAATGTGTCGGTAAATACTGCAAAAAAAAAAAAAACATACAGTAAGCTGTTAAGTCCAATCTACTACAAACAAAACAGAATGTGAGAAAAGATTAGATATGTATTGCCAGGGTTTTGCTGGCGGTGTCACATGAGTTATTTTTTCAGATGCAGCGAGGGGTCCTACCTTAACCCCGAGGGGTCTGGAATGGATATTAAGGGAACCTCATGCAAAATGAAAAAAAACCTAAAAACACATGGGGTCCCTCCCATCCATACCAGACCCAAAATCCCTTAGAATTGTGAGTGGCCCTGCATGTCATTTTTTTTAAACATTATTTTGGTGTGGGGGTTCCCCCAAAATCTATACCAGACTAAGGGACTTTTTTTTTTTTTTTTATTCTGGTGTGGGGGTTTCCCTTAAAATCAATACCAGACCCAAGGGGCCTGGTATAGATGGGGGGGAGCCCCACACTGTTTTTTTTTCATCATTTGTAATTCCTGGCATGTTTTGTTTTACATTCAGCTGTCAGCTGCAGTGGGTCCTACCCCAACCCCGAAGGGTTTGGAATGGCTATTAAGGGGAACCCCACGCCAAAATGGAAAAAAAAATAAAACATGAGGGGTCCCCCCATCCGTACCAGACCCAAAATCCCTTAGGATTGTGAGGGGACCTGCATGCCATTTTTTTTAAACATTATTTTGGTGTGGGGTTCCCCCAAAATACGTACAAAACCTAAGGGACACTTTTTTTTTCTATTCTGGTGTGGGGTTTTCCTTCAAATCCATACCAGACCGAAGGGGCCTGGTATAGATGGGGGGGGGGCCCACACTGTTTTTCATCATTTGTAATTGCTGGCATGTTTTGTTTACATTCAGCTGTCAGTGGGACACCCATTGATAGCTGATGAGTCATCCGTTGTTAAGGACGCAGCGGCTGGCTTCCTTAACAACCAGCTACCGTGCAATAAATTACTGCATGAAAATATGTGGCAATTACCGCAATACAGATATTTTACCGCAAGTTATTTACCGCAAAATTCTTAGTGAATTGCACATTTGCAAAACATTTACCATTATTTTACCGCATTTTTTCAATCGTTATTTAACTCTTAGTGAATTGACCCCAAAGCCTACTTTTCACCATGGCCACCAATCACTGTGGCGTGCTTTGTGCAGTTTACTTCCTTCAGTGCACATGAAACTGTCCTTAACATTGAAGGGTGTGTTTGCTGTTGTTTTTTTTTTTTTAAATAAAAAGCCTAAATCTTTTAGGGAATCTTCTAGGGTATCTCTTAAACTCCAAAACCTTTCTGCATTGTACGATAACAAACTTTATACACAGTACATGATGAATGCTGAGTAAAGCTAACTCAATACCGACAAACATTTAAAACTAAGAAGAAATGCTCTTCTGGATATCTAATTAGCCAAAAAGGCTTGAGGGGAAAATCTCTGTCATTCACATCTGTTATTTCTTTTTTTATTTAAATATTTATTCATTCTACATATAAAATACATGTTCCATCATTATTCTCATATAACATACATAACCATCAATTATATCCCTTTCTATCGTTATTCCCCCTACCCCCCCCCTACCCTAATCTAACACCCCCACCCACCCTGAAAACTACCACTCCCCCCCCCCCAAAAAAACAAACAAACAGAACCACCCACTCTGCATTTCATCTTTTCCTACGTAAAGGGTACTTTCACATATCTCATTCTACTGCTTCATGTATTTCACCTTGGGCACATAATCTTCCCATTTTCCCCACCTCCTATAATATAACCCCATCTTATCTTCTTGCATATAATACAATTTCTCCATTCTACATATCTGATTCACTCTTTCCACCCAATCCTCTTCTCTCTGCACCTCTGAACTATGCCAAAACTTAGGTATCAGACCCTTTGCTGCATTCAGATAACACCATTAGAGATGAGCGAATCGAACCAGGCGAAGTGGAATTCGATTCGAATTTCAGGAAAAATTTGATTCGCGTCGAATCCGAATATTAGCCTACTTCGGTGCGCAAATCGGATTTTTCCCGATCAGCCCCTGCAAAAGTGTCCCTGCAGAGAGCTCCACTATTTCTGACAGTTCTTTCACATGTAAAGCGGTTGAAACATTGTATCTATTTGTTTCCATTTAGGATACAGATGTTTTTATTCGGAAACAGATACAATGTTTCAACCGCTGTAAATGTGAAAGTCAGAGAACTGTCAGAAATAGAGGAACTTGCTGCAGATACACTTTTTGCCGGTTTGGAATTATTCTTATTTTCATCCTACTTCTTCTTCTTCTTCATCCTCATCCTCAGAAGAAGAGGATGAGGATGAGGATGAAGAAGAAGAAAAGTAGGATGAAAATAAGAAGAATTCCAAGCCGGCAAAAAGTGTATCTGCAGAGCTCCTCTAAGTGTATCTGCAGAAGAGGAGCTCTGCAGATACACTTTTTGCCGGCTTGGAATTATTCTTATTTTCATCCTACTTCTTCTTCTTCTTCTTCTTCCTCTTCATCCTCATCCTCTTCCTGAGGATGAGGATATGAAGAAGAAGAAGAAGAAGAAGTAGGATGAAAATAAGAAGAATTCTGCCGGCAAAAAGTGTATCTGCAGAAAATAGAGGAGCTCTGCAGATACACTTTTTGCCGGCTTGGAATTCTTCTTATTTTCATCCTACTTCTTCTTCTTCTTCTTCTTCTTCCTCTTCATCCTCATCCTCTTCTTCTTCTGAGGATGAGGATGAAGAAGAAGAAGAAGTAGGATGAAAATAAGAAGAATTCCAAGCCGGCAAAGCAGATACACTTAGAGGAGCTCTGCAGATACACTTTTTGCCGGCTTGGAATTCTGCTTATTTTCATCCTACTTCTTCTTCTTCTTCTTCCTCTTCATCCTCATCCTCTTCTTCTTCTTCTGAGGATGAGGATGAAGAAGAAGAAGAAGAAGAATAGGATGAAAATAAGAAAAATTCCAAGCCGGCAAAAATTGTATCTGCAGAGCTCCTCTATTCTGCAGATACACTTAGAGGAGCTCTGCAGATACACTTTTTGCCGGCTCTTCTCCTTCTTCTCATCCTTCTCCTTCTTCTCATCCTTCTCCTTCTCCTTCTTCTCATCCTTCTCCTTCTTCTCATCCTTCTCCTTCTCCATCTTCTCATACTTCTCCTTCTCCTTCTTCTCATCCTTCTCCTTCTTCTCATCCTTCTCCTTCTTCTCATCCTTCTTCTCATCCTTCTCCTTCTCCTTCTTCTCATCCTTCTCCTTCTTCTCATCCTTCTCCTTCTTCTCATCCTTCTCCTTCTCCTTCTCCTTGTCCTTCCTCATCTCCAAGGGCATTTAAATTAAAGGTACAGTGTTCTGCACTAATTTAAAGGCTTTCTGAAGCCTAGAAACCCTTTTAATAAGTTAAATTCGTAGCGAATTAATTCGCATCGAATCGAATTTCTTCCTCAAATTCGGCGAATCAGCCGAATCGAATTTTTGAATAATTCGCTCATCTCTAAACACCATATACCCGAATCTTTATATTTGTTCACTGATAGTTCTGTACCATGTGAAAGACCTAACTCTGGATCCAGTTCTATCTTTATCCCAGAGATTGTCCCAATTAA